TCAGTGTGAAGGTCAGACTGAAAAGAGCCCAGGTTAGTGAGATCTCTGAATCACAATGGTAAGCGGCTCACACTTAAAGTCACTTATTAAAGTCACTCTGGAAATAGCAGCGTTGAACAAGCCACTGGAAATATCAGTATAACCTGAACAGCAGTGAGTAACGCTATCAGCTCACACTAGGTGATCCCTTGTGCTTTGTTCTCGAACAGAAACCTTGATACAAGCGTTCGAGTCCCACAGATGAGAAACATTTAGTGTCACACTATTTAATAAATGATTACTCTTATAATCTGCAGTCAAGGAGTCACAGAAAATTGTTCAGTGAGCTACACAGGTTATTTGTTCAGCGAGTCCAATAAGTTGTAAGCTAACTGCGCTAAAGATCATTCCACGCAACTCTTACAGAGATAATGTTTATTGCTAACAATACTGTAGCTTCTTTCGGTGTGTAAATTCCCCCCTCCCTTGTCAAACAGCCATTCCTACGTATTTTGCATGTTGTGATCATGTTTCCTATCATGCTTGACGAGATACGGTACCTATGGTGCGTGCTGCATAGTTAAGAAGTGGTCTGACGTATGTGGTATACCGAGTTCTGAATGATTCCTTATATGGATTTCTTATGGGTGTCCTGAAGTTGCCCAGTTGTGCAATTCATCAAGAACTGTATCCAGCTTGTGTTGTCAGCTACTGGAATGTGTGGGTGTACTCATCTAATTGTGTACTCATGGGTGTCTGTGGGTGTACTCATCTTGCGGGGCTTGACCTCTGCTCTTTCGGCCCGCCTCTCAACTGTCAATCAACCAACTGTTACTAACTACTAATTTTTTTCCACACACACACACCCAGACCTCAGTACATAGCCTAGGTAAGAACGTTAGTAATTATAAACAATCATTTCAAATTTGACGCTTGTCAAATAGCGAGAACGAACGGGATTTCGTCAAATACAAAAGATGAGTTTAGTACTATTCAACAACAAAAATAATAGCAACGTTAACTTCAAGAAATTAGGTAAACACGAGGACACGTCTCAAGTGTATGACAGGCGGAACCCAAGAGCCAAAGCTTAACTAGGTGAGTACAGGTGTTAGGGGCTGCTCTCCTCATGTACTGTAAATATATATATTATCTAGAATGAAATATACATATAACTACATATAGCCTCATCCTGGAGATATGACCCAACAGGGCTTAGAGAGCCGAGGTGTTCTTGAAGGACATGTCTCTGATATGTTGAAAGACTTCAACTGCCACTTTAATTTAAAAGATATATGAAAAAGATTCCTTTAGAGGTTAATTTATAGAAACATGCATAATTATGCACAATTTCCAAACGTAGTATGTCACTGATTAATGTTGATACACGAATCAGTCGAGTCATTAACTAATAATGAAAACAAATAATAATAAATAAATTAATAAAATAATAATATTTTATTAATAAAATATTTATAGGAACATGTCACAGTGGTTAATTAGTAGATACAGAAATGTTATATGCTATAAAGCCACTAGGTTCGGACAGCGTTTCAGGCAGTTGGTCTGCATCGACCCCGTTACCTCGTGAAATACAGTCCGGTTATCATTATCCGGCACGATGGCTTCTTTAACCGGTTGCCAAAATGTTCAGACTGCTAATCACTGTTCTTCGGGGCCTCTAGTGACCTCGTAATTTAAGTAACGTCACTTTTATCTTTCTTTTGTCTTGTTCTTGCGGCGGTCCGTATACAATATATTTATGGGTTGGAAGAAGCGGCCACTGGTCCTTAAGGGACTTGAATAATTTTAAACTCAGTAACTACAAGTTCAATCACAAGTCTGTGTTTGAGAGAGAGAGGGACAGAAGATCCATATAAAGGAAAGCCAAGGCTTTTCTAGCTGGCTTCCTTCATGCTGGACCCACGGCGACAAAAGCCTAAGACGGGTAAATTCAATATTGCAGCCTTAAATAAATATTATTCCCTAGAGGATAATATATATCAACTTGGTTACCTGTAGAAATAAACTACGATAGAAATGTAAAGCAAGTCCAAAGTCTTCAAGAGAGAGAGAGAGACGAAGGTGCGATCGGTTCCTAGCGTGCTAGGTAAGTTTAAAAAAAGGCGGCGATACAGGTGCACTGAGGGAAAGAGCGAGTACGTGTGGACGCGGTGGCGGCGAGAGCACGACTGAGGGGAGATGTGTCTCTCAGCGGTGGTCGGTTGCCTGCTCCCCTCTCTCTCGCCTGCCAAGAGCAGTGTGAGGACAGCTGGTCAAGTGGGAGCGGTAAGGATGCTGGTTAAGCCGTATGATGGGGAGGGCAGGTGAGCAAGCTGGATGATTGTGAGGGCAGGTGAACAAGCTGCATGATTGTGAGGGCAGGTGAACAAGCAAGAAGCGTAGCAGTACACGTGGCAAGTGAGAGTACAGGCGGCAGTACATATACTGTACGCATAGCGTTTGCCCGAAACGCTATGTGTGTTAGTCGCTTTGCAAGAATGGAAAAATATCACTAATGTAATCTCATCAACCCATTGTACCGTCTTGTAAATAAAATATTATTATTATATTATTGTAGGTATAGTAAGAGGATTATACGTACAACACACCGCCAATATGTCAAATAAGAATTGCATTGTATTAGTAACGACCTTTAATATATATAATAAAAAAAGTAAATTATAATTGTCAACAAACCAGAACTGTATTCACTATTAAATTGTATAAATTAATGAAATTCACACTGACAAAAGCCTAGCTGTCCAATGCCGCCCAGACATTATGTTACCAAACGAATGATCGGGTATTATGCTATCACATGAAACACTGTACTATGCATAGGCTATGATTGATATTATTACGTGATAGCTTACTAGGTTCTATTATCGTAGTGACCAGCTGTGCCTCTGTGTAATCTCACTGATATTGATGTCCCTCACACTTTATTTATTTATTTATATATATACAAGAAGATACATCATTGGAATTGTGAGGATACATAGTATAGTAATTACAATCTTGTAAAGCCACTAGTACGCGCAGCGTTTCGGGCAGGTCCTTAATCTAAGAAAATTTTAAGTAGGTAAATACTTGCAAAGCACTTGCCTGAAGGGAGCGAGCAAAGACCCCTGAATAGGCTCTAGTTTGTTTGTTACAAGAATTTAGGACTTGTGTAGCTTGGGGTAAAGGCCACTATAGCCCAGTACATATATATATGTACCTTTAGCCCAGCAGTATTTGTGCTTTATTGTAATTAGGCGCACTGATGACGGTATTAGGGAGTGTAAGTGTGTGTATGTAGTATGTTTGATGTAATCTGTTTATAAGTTGTCACACTTACAGAAACATAGATACCTTAAATTCCCTTGTTCAGCCAATGAGAAAATAGTCAAATGGTTTTCTCCTGAGAACTTTTATCATAAAACAGTTATTTTCTGATTATTCTCACTACTGTGTGTTTCCACACTCCTCCAACAGCTTTTTGCCTTTTGCTAATTTTCCTTTTCATATTTGTTTATGTCACTCCATGATAAATGACTAGCTTTAGCGCTTCCATTTCCATATTTTTTTTTCATTGACAGTTACTAAATGTATTCACTCTTGTTTAGTCGTTTTGGGCATTGAACCTAAACTTTCCCGCTAACAACCTGCGGCTCCCACACTAATATTCAACTGTTTTCCGGCATTATTCGTTCTTCATTTGCATATCAACCCCTCCTGCATATTCATCATCTTTGAATACAAATCTCACGCGCCACAATCTCTTCCAAACAAATCAATACTAACAGCTTTTGCCAGTTATATAAATTGGTGTTTGGTTAAATTAAATTGATTAGATATATATATATAGATGCAGCCTCGCAGGTACGATATACAATATTTAATATGCGTAAGTGTCCACGTAGGAAAAAATTACACGAAAACGTTTGTAATTTTCTTTTCATTTTTTCCTACGTGGAATTTTCTTTTCATTTTTTCCTACGTGGATACTTACGCTTCACTGCTTGGTGAACAGGTGCATTAGGAGATAGGAAACGTACTCAATCATCTCTGTCCCGGCTGGAATTAACCCGAGATTCCGATTGTGAGTAAGAAACGAACCCGATTGAACTATTGGGACCCTGCTTTATTGTAATACTTTTACCATTTTTTCCACATACTTTATTGCCCGTCATTCATGGTGGTATGCTATGAAAAAGCTCTAGAGAAGTCTATGTATACTATGTGTACTGGAAATACAGTACAGTACTTTAAATAGCTGGTTACTGCCTCCAAAAACGTTTTTTTTTGTTACACACCCCCCAGGAGGCAGCCCAGAGCAGCTGTCTAACTCCCAGGTACCTATTTACTGCTAGGTAACAGAGGCATCAGGGTGAAAGAAATTTTGCCCATTTGTTTCCGAAGTGCTGTCGACTCAGCTGTCAGGTCCCTTGGCTGAATTTAATGCCGTTTTGTATATGTCATAATGTATGTGATTCTTCGTGGATTGATACCTTTTCCAGAGGTTGTGCTTAGAGCTACAACTACAAAGAGCTACAAAAACTCTTTTTTTTCTGCAATTTCCTTAACTCTTTATCTTCTTATATTTGTTGATGCTCTATCTCAGTTGTAAATAGCTCCACTGACTGGTACAATATTGCTCAGGCAAAAAAAGTGAGTCTGTGCAAGTTTCTGCTTCAGTCTGAACAATGCTGCCAAGGCAAAAAATATATGTTAGTAAGCTTTAAGAACAACATTAATTAAAAAAAATTGTAGTTACGTAATATAAAAGCACACTGTTAATATTTTAATACTTCTATTATCCGATCCCATGATCGTCGTCGCCCCTAAATCAACACAATAACAGATAATCTAAGTACGTACATCAGCCTTTATTCAGCAGGGAAAGATAAGAACTCTTGTTAAAACACTTCTGACATTAGGAACATTTTAATGAAAATTCTACATGGAACAGCCAAATACAACACAATCTAGCAGAATAATAAAATAAATCTGGAAATGAAGTAAAAGACAATGTATTAGGGATGTGTTTCTTTTTATTGTTATTAATTCCTTTGTGCCTATAATAATCTACATGATGCAAGTGCAGTGAGTTAACAATGGTGCAGTTTTTAATCAAGTACAGTACTTGTAAATGGTTATTTATTTAAGAATATAGTAGCAGTGGAATGTAAAACCAGAGAAACTGCATAGTCTATAAAAACTGCACTTGAACATTACCTCAACTCTTTAAGTTGTTTTAGTGCATTAAGTGAAATCTGACAATAAAATATGACCTGTCATCTTTTCCTCAGAGTAATGATGATTTTTATATGACAATTTCATTACATGCTCTGAAAAAGGTTAAAAGTAGGTAATGTAATATATATATACCAATTTACCAGCCTGATGTAAGTTAATAAATAATGCACAGTAATTGCTTCTCTGTGTACCAACAGTAATGGGGGACCCCAATGTTTTCCTTTATTCTTCAATGTATACGCTACATAAATCACACATAGGCCAGACCCTGAGACACTACCTGCATAGCTCAGAATCCATGATCATTGCTCACCTAAAAACTTGCAGGGGTCCCCACCCCCACACCTACCCCACGGTGGGATTGCCACAAAAGAACTGTTTAAAATTCTGTGTACTGCAACCCCCTTCCTCTCTCAAGAATATGCAGAACCTTCCAATTCACATCCATGCAAATGGCAAATGTACACACACAGAAAACAGCTCATCAGAGACTACACTAAATGCAAGAACTCAAGAAGACAGGCGATGTGCTTCCCCCTCCCAAAAGAAGAAGAGGGAACCGAGGATATTAGCCAGAAGATTTGGTTACATGGCTGAAAGAATGTGCCCATGTGTCACTCAGAACCTCCCTACACATTCGCATTGGAAAAGAGCTGGTTAGTCACAAGTATATTCACAAGTCAAGCCTGGCCCTGAACTCCCAGAACCCCCATCCAGGCACAATCCAGGTACAAGAAATGGATGACGAGGAAAAGAGCAAGTGCCCAGGCCAATTCTTGGCACTAACTCAATGCTGTAAATGTGCAGGCAGACAAGTATTGAAAAGATGTGATGACTAAACCCCACATAAGAAAATCAAGAAACGACGATGTTTCTCTCTGTTACACGACCTAATAATGGTCCAGGACGGACCAAAACGTTTTCGTCTCTTCATTTTCTGATGTGTGGTATGGTCATCATATCTTCGGCCACATTATTGCGACTCATTGTCCCCATGTATTGAAAAGGCAGAGTTTAGCCCTTTGCTCTCCTATCTAAATGATCAGCTGTTCTTTGCAATCTACAAAGAACAGTACCTTCAGTTTTCAAACTGCATTTTCCACTCTAGTGACTGCACTATATCCTTTCAGAGAAGTAATAATGGTAGTCAGAATCTCAATTTTGAGTGCCTAGTAATTCATTATTCATCAATTTGTCAGTACTTGAAATTAACTTGAATTAATTTCAGCACATTTTGCTCATTCAAGCACATGACAAAATTTGACAACCCCACCTAGTAGTCCATAAGTTCAGTGAATTGCAATTGCTACTAAAATGGTTGGAATTATTATGTAAAATCAAAATAAAATTTTAGATATTCAGTTGTAACCAAGGTTCTGTTGCATTAGGTAATTTGAAGTATGTGAAGATGATGTAAAATACCAATTTACCGAGCTTAAGATGGTTGAAGTGCACAGGGAGGGAGGGAGGGACATTATAAAGAACTTTTTCAGTGTCAGAGAAGTTAACAGATGGAATACGTTAGGCAGAGAAGTGGTGGAGGCAGACTCCATACAGTGTCAAATGTAGATATGATAGAGCCCAGTAGGCTAAGGAATCTATACATCAGTTGATTGACAGTTGAAAGGCAGGACCAAAGAGCCAAAGCTCAAGCACAACTAGGCAAGTACACAGTCCCTCACTCTTGTTTAGGCTAAATATTTACTCACTAACAAGAACCATGATACTGTAAAATGTATAAGTTTATAAAATACAAATTAACATCAGGCAACTTTTAGGCTTTCAACAAAGGCAGGAACATCAGAGATGTTCTGAGATTCTACATTACATGAGCTTAATAATATATGCTTGGAGGATAGTTAAATGAGCTTTATTTAATACACTAAAGTTATCCAGTATGTGCAAAACCAAGACAAATCTTCAGAAGTGTAAAAATACAATACAATTTAATAATTAAAATAATTTATTACTTCAAAAGCATTCAATCAAGGTTGAAAGTGAAATGCAATTGCGATCAATAAGAACTTCGTCTACGGTAAATTCAGTTACTACCAGTAGGTGAACTTACTGAAATTGCCACTGATGTGCATTACTTATTGTCTTACATTCAGGCTGTTACACAGTCATATCATATTCTCAACAGATAAATATATATACTGCCAACAATGCTCCGACATAAAATTGGCAAGATTGCTGACTAGTAAAAAAAAAAATATATACAGTACTTAAAAAAGAAGGCGGCTAAACATGATGTTCTTGAGAATGCTCACAATGAGCAAAACCATCTTGTGTAGTTCTCCATTTTGGCATTTTGCTAAATAAATACTCTTAATAACAAGAGCTATTTCGTGTAATGCCTGAGGCACGAACAGCTAGGATAAGCTTTTTATTGCACAATATCAATATACAGTATAAGTAAATTAAAATATATAAATCTTTAATAAATATTCATTCCCAAACAAACTTTATGCTCTAAACATTGGCAAAGATAACCAGTTTCATAGCATTAAAATGTGTGTCATGCAGTGCTGCCATTACTCTAGCTATTTTGAAAACTTACTTAGAAATGAACTATATGGCAGCCCCAACTGCTCACTGGATGCATTCTCCACACACTTTCACCTCATGAAGATAACAGGAGTACAATTCACTTTATTAGTTTCCTGAGAAAATAACAATTTTACAACTGCTGCTGCTGAAATAAAAAATTTCAAACAAAATGTTCCCTGAAGGCAAAAAGAGTATTAATTTTCTTTATATATGAAATAGCATACCTATGTGGTAATCATGAATTAAAAAAAAAGGGGGGGGAGAAATGCTTTGCAACTTGCAAGGTTAAAGAATGCCAATTATGCAGTTTGTATCCATTGTTGAAACCCGTACCATACTTCCAAATTATGCCTAACCATGTCTGTACTACCATATGTAGATAATTCTTTCCGCCTCTTTTCAGAAACTAAGACTTATTATTGCTTCTGCATAACATGTTAAAATTTTGGGAGTACTACGAAGGCAATTACATAGAAGCATGATTGCCATGTTGGAGAGGCTTCTTTTCATTAGTATAGTGATTATATGGGTGAAAAGTGCATAACAATGAAAATTAACTGACAGATGATGTGAGCAAAACTGGACACTCAGTCTACAAACATCACCTGCTGCTGAAAGAATTATATTATTCGAGTCCTGAATTAAGTTTATGGACAAAATTTGGCCTTTAGGCTGGAAGAACTGAAACTATTATGTACTAAGATATTATGCAACAGTACAGAGGGTTGCTATTAAGCAATGATACAGCAAAGTTTATGTTACGTAAGATTACTGGTGATTAGAGTTCACCACTGGGCCCCTGAGTTCAAGACAAAATGATTACAGTGGAAGCACTGGGGATCTCTATCCCCAAGAATACCTTGTCTTTGGCTAATAACATGACAGTCAACATCTTCAGAGATATACACAAATTAAGATACAGCTGATAATTTACAAACTGTATACAAAACTTTGACTGCTAATTAATAATATGCCAACTTGTTGGTCTAGTTACACAAAATTATATGAGAAAGATGCAATTGAATGCTAGTGCATAATGTTGTGAAGCTGCAAAAGATTCTGCCAATTTACAAGCCTTACTCTTCAATAGTTCGGGTTCAAACAGGTCAGCCATCCACCATACAATAAAACTGACCACAAGTGACTATTATTTCTATTGTTATTTAAATTTTGGCTTGAAATAATAAGGTTCTATAACCACAGACATGCCAGTTTGGAAAAAATCAAATGCACATTTCATATCTCTTATTTTACTGGATAGTATAACTTAAATTTTGGCTGATTCTATTTACCATTAGTTGCAAAACTTTCTGAGCATCTCTTGATGTAAAAAAAGAAAAACTAAATTTTAGGAGCACATGGGCAGGTGTATTTATGTACATATACCGTATATGTATGCACAAGTACACACCCCACATACAAGTACACATCTACCTATTTAAGCATAAGAAAATATAATAAAATTAAGACTAGTTCTGACCAGAGATCATGGTAATAAGTGTAATCATTATTTAAAGTTTGCATAAGTACCAATGATTTACATATAGTACTCTAACTATTCAGTCTATTAAACTCTGAAATCTCAACTTACACTGTGTTTCTAAAAGTCATGAAAACAATCTCTGCAGATTACCCGACACTCGCTGATCTTCATGAAGTGAAAGCACTGCTGCCATATAGAAATAATTTATCCTTAAATATTAATTTAGCACATTTCATTTATTAAATGATATTAATTTGGAATCAGGATATCTTACAAAGAAACATTTAAAGAGCATTACATTTGTTTACATTTGTGAAGTTTGTACAGTGATATCAGACATGGTTGGTATTAACGTTGTTTGTGGAGGTTGGGGTGGCAGTATCATTAGTTAGGATGGAAGAGTTACTAATGATGACTGTGGCAGTATTACTAACGGTAATGGAATCACTAATGAGTGTGGTATCAAGTTCTTCCTCTTCTTCTTCTTCCTCTTCCTCACCTTCGTCTATGTCGTCACTATTAACTATCAAACTTTCTCTTTCCAATCCTTCGGTGTCAACCAAACTGTAAGTGATTGAGAAATAAATTAATTCGGCTGGAAAATGACAGACAATATGATACAATTTACACCATCACCTCTTTATTAAGGCAATCTATGCAGCTCATGAATGCCATCACACATGCAAACATTTTAGACTTTTAATGCCCTCCATACCTCACTTTAAAGAGGGCAAAAATCCTATGTAAATAATACTAGCAGGTTTTCATACACAGGTATTATATATTTTTCAAGCACACCACAATGAAAGACTTAACAGTTATTTAAGGGTTAGAGAAGTATTTCATCTCAAAACTGCACAATGGGGATATTTACCTGTACATAAAGCTTCTTCTCCTGAATTTTCTATGAAGGCATTTCATTCCATCCATCAGTGGATCCCAATTTTCATAATGGGTGAGAAGTGTTACTGCAATAAAGGATACCATCATAGGTATCGAACCAATGTAAATGAGTAATGAATACTTGATGCCCTTGAGCCAAATGTCAACAAACATTGTCAAGGGAATGGTCAGGCTAAGGGACAGAGTAGCCATCAACGACGAAGTTAAGAAACAGCCCCTGCAAAATAAAACACATTAATCAACTGAGGAATCTTAATGTGTATCATGAAAAATACACGCTGAATAACAAACAAGCTCTCAACTATGGACAATAAAATGACAAAACATGGTGTATGAATGAGAAAATATTGAGGCCATTCAATGGGATCAAACTTGCATCCCTGGACTCCACAGGCATAGTTGAGTCAGTAGTGTGTATGTATCTCAAGAGTCCACAGATGAGAGTTCGTTCACTTATCATTTGTCATTAATCTCTTGCATTCTCAAGGTAGATCAAGTATCACACCTTTAAGCATCTAAGATCAATTTGTACGCCAGTTGACTTTTATCCCCTCTGAAAATATTACCTTTGGAAAGTAAAAGCTTGATCACTTTTTTCCACTGATGGGGGGAAAAATTGCATACATTATTTTAAATAGTTTAAAAAGCTTCTACTGTATAACTTATAAAATTTCCATGTGTTATCAACATCATGTTTTAACCACATCATTGAGTCTACTGGATCACCAGTATGCATGGCTGAACTGTTACTTGTATATAATGATACTAACCTCAGAGTGAGATACATCTTCAATACAGAACTGTATATATAAATTAAGTTCTATTTCTATTGTATTCTTCCTACACTATATACACTACATACTTTATAAACAGCAAAATTATTACACTGATAAAACACTACTAACCAAAGCCATAACAGCTCAGAAAGCACTGTGCCCACTAATCCATTGATAGACATGTAGACCAGCTGCCGAAGATTTGGCAACTGAAACGTTTCCCATCCTGCAATATCCAGCAGGGGAAACCCCGGCCACAAAATGATAGCATTGAAAAAACCAACAAACCCTGAAAGAAACATTGCACTTAAAATCTCCGAGAAACATAACAGGAAAATAATATGCACTCATCAACATACACCATCCTTGTGTTGCAGCTTCAACAAAATCCCAAGAGCTGCAACTGTAAATACATCAATGTTATTAACAAGGCTCTACAACACCATACAACACGCTAATATAAGATTTTGAAACTTCTTTGCTAATCCCATATAGCTCTGTAACATATGTTGTCCTCCCCTATTAAATTAACAAATTACAATGAACACACTAGCCAGACCATGGCTTACTAAAGATATGCAATACTATAATCTATAAAAATCAAACATTAAACATAATGAATTTACTTTTTCTGGTGGAGTCCCTTAGTAGCTCCTGAAGCTCACTGTAGGTTCAGCCAAGCCTTAGAGAAATGCACTGGGGGCCTCCTAGACCAACCATTGCCTATTAGAAACCGAATCTGACACTTTATGAGAGGGGGAGCGTGCGGATCAAAGATACCCCCCCCCCCCACACACACACACAAAAAAAAAACAGAAATCATAAGCACAACAAAATAAGCCGCTGCTTGAAGAAAGTCAGGTAACAAGTCAAACAATCATTCCTGCTGTGCAAGCATCCTAATCATAATGTGCCTAATCTCCACTAGGTGTCAGCTCAGGAAATGGAACAAAAACAAAGCAATGGCCCAGCAAAGAGAAAAGCATTCCAAAAGGCTAGCCAACATCTCTTATCTGAAAGTGTGAAACTGGATGTGTACTCGGCAGATAAAAGACCTGGCTGGCAGGTAACCTTGGCTGCCACCTGGTGTTAGTCAGGTGCATCTTGGTTGGGGTTGTCACACCCCAGGAATGATTATTTGTCTTATGAACAAATCCACAAGGGGCCGTGATGAGGGTTCAAACCAACATCCGAGAGGATCCCAGACGCACCTTAATCACCACGAACCCTCATCACGGCCCTTGTGGATTTGTTCGTTTGATGCATCACGCTATCGTGATTTCTGTGTGTATTATTTGCCTTATTTACCTCAGGGTTACTCATTTACTTCAAGCAGGTGTTTGCTTTGATGCACTTATATTTTATGATAGATTTTTCACTTTTGAGTTAATCCTAAAGCTTCCCATGCATTGTAGTTGCATTCTGGTATTGGCTCCAAGTAGGCTCAGGTGAGTTTCATAGGCCTGGTGTGATTCTCTAGAACTTGGCAGCCCCAGCGCTATTGCTTGGGAGCTACTGTTGGGGGTCCTTCCAGAAACAACAACTATTAAAGTTAATATCAAATTAAATATAAAATCTAATTTGTCTGGTCTTAATATTATCAAACATATCTAATCTCAAGTCCTCAGTAAAACTACATACTAAATTCAAGAAATTTACTAACCAAAAAACATAGAAAAATCCATTCTATCTTCACTTGGGACCTTACGCTTCAGGAAGACCATATAACAAGCATACAGAATAGCGCCAGCTAGTGACCATATCACACCAATAGGCACTGATGAACTCTCAAGACTGATGTCTTCCAGACTCACTAAAACCTGCAAATAATTCAAGAACAAAAGTAAAAATTGGGGTTTGAGAATGTTAAAAAGATTTTTTTTTTATCCTAGGTAAAGCACACAGTTGTGCCCTAAGGAAAGACGCCACTTGTACCATAGGCAGGATCTGGCACTGTCAAGCAAGGTCAATACTGCACCGGCATAGCTGGGATATTTTAAAAACATAACAAAAGTGCTAGGAAGAAACTGTAAAATGCTCATTCCACCTTGAAATATCTTCCGAATGTTCATTGCAACAAAATTAAAGCCCATCCAAGTGTTCTCCCTAAACTATTTATTAAGTGGCATGCCTAGCCATTATCCTTGATCACAAACAGATGGTAGCACCTACACAACAACAACAGAGTTCCCTGATTCAAACCATGTCACATTCCTCCTTGCTTGTTTCAATTCAGTCAAGTACAGATGGTGGATAGAATTCAGTTAAATAGCTTGTGTTATTCTTAGAAATATTTTCTTTTTCTGTGCAATGGGGGTTGTGCTATTAAGTGGGCACTTCTTGTGTTCATAAGTATGAATCTATTGTGTGTCAGGATTTTGATCAACCAGTTAGCTCTATTCTGTCTGGTTCAGTCCAACCATTTGGAGTGAACGGTAGAGCGACGGTCTCGCTTCATGCAGGTCGGCGTTCAATCCCCGACCGTCCAAGTAGTTGGGCACCATTCCTCTACCCCCCGTCACATCCCAAATCCTTATCCTGACCCCTTCCAAGTGCTATATAGTCGTAATGGCTTGGCACTTCCCCCGATAATTCCCTCTGTCTGGTTCAGTGCACATCAAATGTAATTTACCTTTTCTTGACATTACAACTACATTTATTGTTTCTTGGGACTAGGGAAAAAATAATGTTAGGCAATGGCAACACAGGTCAATACGCCTTATGTAGTTTCCTTTATTCTAATACGTATTCTTTTTCTCCATATTAATTGTAACTTTAACATTCTGAATTTAACAGTTTGTTCTTACAAATCCCTGTGAGTAGGATTTCCAAAAAGTGGGGAAAGTATCATCTGATTATCATTTGTATAGGATTATTTTCAATTGTAGAGGGTATTCACCAAGTCAGATTTTTTCAAACCATAAATAGGTTTGTGCTAATTTAGGTCCTAGAGTAGTCAATAGGTATACAGTACCTTTACAAACATGTACAGGTCAAATGAAATAGAAAGGTTTAAGCCTTGAACATTCTTTATCACAAAACAATTTTGTAATTCCTATGCTCTATATTAATGCGAATATCCATCTATTTAAATCACATAGCAGACTAGTTGCTTCAGCCTCCCCCAGAAGCACTGTTGGGAGAGTAACAGGGGGCACTGTTCCCCTTGTTACTCAAGGGGAACAGTGCTCTTCCCCAACTGATGGTTCTTATTCTGGTTACACTAACACTAAAGTTCCTTGTTGACCAAACCACACACTAGAAAGTGAAGGGATGACGAGGTTTCAGTCCGTCCTGGACCATTCTCAAGTCAATTATGACTCAGGACAATCGACTTGAGAATGGTCCCAGGGTGAACCGAAATGTCGTCGTCCCTTCATTTCTAGTGTGTGGTTTGGTCAACATATAGTTCAACCACGTTCTTGTGACTCCTCATCTGCACTCAAGTTCCTTGATTTGTTTCCCACAACTGTGTTTCCTGGTGCAAATGGTGACTACTATCACCTTTTACAATAGCTAAATCGAGCATGAAACTGTTGATGTATTTTAAGGCTCTCCTACAATACTCATCCAAGTGTGCTTGCGGGGTAGAGCTCTGGCTCTTTGGTCCCGCCACTCAACTGTCAGTCAACTGGGTCTTTAAATACAGTAGTCTTTAACACTTGAGGGAAGTGGTAATGTTTAAGTAAGTTCATCTTGAGACCACCCTCTGAAGCATTGGAAATTCCCAAAGGAAACCAAGATATAAAATATATATAAGATAAATTTTATTTAAAAAAAATTCATGGAAATTTTACTACTAGGGCACCACTAAAATATACTGTATAGGGAAAAATGTAACAAATATTTATTATCAGTAAGTATATGTACCGAGAAAATTGGAATAGTATTAATTCTACTAAAAACTTACCAACCTCAATGCAACTTAACCAACTCATCAAGTAGCTCATGCATCATATTGCATTGTAATTTATCTATAAAAATTAGTATTCAAAAGCATTTATGTTTATGTAATACATGAGGGATACATCACAATCTTCTTCCTTATCAGACAAATGCTTGCATACATCATATGTATATGCTTCAGTAGCCATAAAATGCAAGTTTATAAAAGACACTGTTTCAAGAAATGGAAATCATTTTAATATTTGCCCTGGGAATACCCATGTAAACAAAGCAGCATTACTCACCACACCCATCACCATTAAAAGAACTGAAGCCAATTTGGAGAGTGTAAACTTGTCCGTTACAGATGACGGGAAGATGGCAGCAAGGATAAGAGTAAATAATCCTGATGCCGATGAAATGATATTAACAATGCCAGCTTCACTATCATTCAGTGCTATCTGGTAGCTGTAATTTCCTGCAAACCACTGAAAAGAATAAGCTTATTTTAAAAGAAAATTTCAAGACAAAAAGAAAAAGGGAAAATGCTTTAAGTGAACATGACAAGCACTTTATGAGCCTAACCATTCAGATTTTCCCTAATTAATGATTTACTGTGTCAAAGGACAGAATCGTGCAGTCTGGCAGGATGACACACTAACACGGGCACAACAGCAAACTTTTTAAGTAATCCCTGCAGGGTAATTGTTGGTGTAAGAGAGAAATGGAGGGATACAATCTGGGCAGAAATAGCTGACCGAAGTACGTTAATAAAAATTCAAAGTCCTCCCATGCCATTCCTTGACATCACAGGTGACTGCCCAACAAGAGCTCTTCCTGACTACTAAATTGGCCACCTACACCAACCACCACCATGTAGTAACAGCCTTCCTCCCTAATTGGCTTCCCATATTAAGCCATTTCACATACTTCCAGATGCAAGGACAGATTCTGTGTACAAGGAATATAATGAGAGAGAGTAGAGGCAGCCAATGGGTTCAGTAATTGTATTAAGTATGTGCTTCTTCATAAAAAGACACACTAGAAACAACATCCAAACATTGAGTCCCCAAAAGAGAGGACATCTGGTAGAGTGTTTATGACTGATTTGAGTGAGTAGCAGAGCAGGAAGAGAACCAGATTGTAACACTTTACCCCTATCCAAATTACAATAAAGAATCCAAGGCAAAAAGTATTGGAGACACTCAAAACTTGTGAACACACTCACAAGAAGCATCATATAAAATTGGAACATATCATTAACTATATGCAAAGTCCCCAACTCTAGAAACAAAGTTTCAATGATGAAAACAAGTCCAACTTACAGTAACTGAAAATCCAGTCTCCACCTGATGAGGTGAAATCCAGTAAGGAGAGAGGGGGTACTGTGGTGGACAGTATAGGTGGCCAAGAAGGTCAACTGGAAGTTAGCAAGAGCTCTTCCTTGATGGACACCTGTCAGGACCAAGGAAGGGCTTGGATTGGTTTGAGTTTTTGTGACACTACTAACCTCTGTTGACCTCTGTTGGCCATTCTAGCCATTATTGAATAATCTTGTGGTCTTGCAAGCATCTATTCTGACCCTGCTGGGAGTACAGTACTTTAAAATGTTTCCTGTGGCAACAGTATCAGGGTGTAATTTTGTCTAGCCAAGCACGCTCCTGTTCAGTGACATAGCAGATCATCACTTTAGGAAGCACTACATGTGACATTAGAAAAAAAATTGTTGTAACAAGTTTAATAATACTATTCCAAAATCACAAAGGTAATATTGTACAAGTAATCTTCAAGTATTTTCAAATGTACATACCTATATTAAAATACTATGACCACAATCGAGGCCAAACAATCTAAAAAATAAAATGTTATTAGGCTAAAGTTGCCATTTTGTTGAACAACACCAGTTTTCAGCCATTCAACAAAAATCAAATCTTTGCCTAAAATTTAGCATAAAATAGAGAAAAAATGTAAATATATTAATAGTTTCAAATGTGGGTTGGACATGTATATGAGTGGGATTGGGTGATTATAAATAGGAGCTGCCTCGTATGGGCCAATAGGCCTTCTGCAGTTACCTTTGTTCTTATGTTCTTATAGTTTTATAAGAGTAGATATGGAAAATATTTAAAGAAGAAACAATGGGTATAAATTGGATAAGTTTAGATTTAGGAAAGACTTTCTTTTCCAGGTCTTTCTGTAGAGAGGACTTCACAGTTTTGACAAGCATCCATATAATGTACAAATTTAAATAGGTTTCACTTCCAAAACATAATACAGTAAGCACTGTATCCTATCACTGTAGTGTAGTGGTGTAGTGTAAGTTTAAAACAAATAGGCCAAAACAATTTGGTAATACTGGCCATAAACAAAACAGCTAAATAGAAATAAGACAGCGGTGCGGGGGCTGAAGTGACGTCATGCTTGTTTGCTTGTTTTCTGATTGGGGAGTTCTGTTTGCTCGTTCGGCTTTTGGTTTGCAATTTTAACCAACTGTAGTTTGTTTTGGGATTCCTACATTTCTGGGTGCCTGACCTGATAGGCGGCAGATATAGACTGCTTCCAACTACAGTACTGTACATCGGGGTGTCTATAGGCCATTGTTCCTCGTGCCTCTCTGAGGGGCCAGGTTCTGGCTCGTGGTCCCTGGTAGGCATAGAACTCAATCGATTGATTGTTGCCACGGTCTAATATATATACATATTAGCCAGTATAGCTCCGGGGAGCCGAAGGGGCTCTCCACAGAAAAGCCATAAAATCTTTCCATTAGTATAATTTCTCATGCAGCTACTTAACTAAACAACAGCCCCCCATTTCCTACCCACCCTTCAAAGAATCTGAAAAGCCTACTAAGAACCTAGGGTGAGGCACAAATGTTTAAAGGCACTTGAAGATCTTGCCTGAACTCTACATACTTACCAGCAAGCAAAATATACTTGAAATTTTCATGACCTCCTTAACGGATAACTTGTTTGCTTCTTGCATGGCCAGTTGCTCAGCACGAACAGAGGCAGAGAATGACAGACGAGACATCATGGCATCTACTGCCTCAGATTCTGACATCTGCCGAACCTAAAATAATTAAGAACTTAGCTATTCCATGCAATAGATTGTAAGGGTGAATATAATATGACAAAAAGTCAGATATATCATATGCATGGAGAAAGTAAGAAGTAAACATACACCAGTCTAGCACACACTGGAGATCATCCTGTAGCTTTGAACTTTTGTCACTCCCCCACTTGTGCCTGCACACATCCACATCATAGCTAAACAATTAGCTGAGCATCCCATTAAAAAAGATTCTTCTCTTCCTTGAGATGCAAGAGAAATATGACTAAAAGCCCTTCTAGTGTGTAAATAAATATTAAGTTGGTTAGGCAGTTCTCATAAGAAAAAAGGAAACACATGCAGTGGACAATAAGAATTTGTACAAAACTCCAATCTTAAATGTGGTAATGTAGGTAGAAAGAGCATAGCTACTACAGTTCATGAACACAGGGTTTCTATAAACCGAGTCATTTAATTGTCAAACTCACACACTTCAAAGATTTCCAGCACTCTATTCCATATAACATAATAATTAGCATTTAAGAAATTAAACATATTCTGTACCTCTGTCAATTTGCTAAAGCGGACGGACTTTACTGAAGAGTCATCAGACTCTCCATCAGAACTTTTTTCTTGTGAATCTTGTAGCTTAAGTGGAACATAACTTGGCTCACTCTGAAAACAATAGAGGAGGGATGAGTGGGAATAGATCTTCACTAGCTTTTCTACATCACTGTCTCTAATTTAAATACATTGAATTTCAATATATTTATTATTGGGTTAAACAATAACTGAGTAAAACGACGCTGAAGAACAATACAGTACAGAAAACAAAATGTCTGTGCCAGTATCCACTGAAATTGGCAAAACTGCTTTCTTGTACCCCAGTGCACAGATGCCTGTTAAGGATTACAACTGCCTTGCACACACTCACATGAAGTACTTCCATTGCAAATGAATCGCGATTGCTAGACAACCAAGGAACATGTTTACATATTCAAGTTTAAGTATGTTTATTGAGATAAACAAGAAATGCATCTCAAAGGGATAGAGTAGCTTAGGCTATTTCTACCCCCCTGTTTACATATGGTCTGCCACTCCATCTTGTACCCTCAAACACAGTACAGTACAATACAGTACATACATTACCATTCCCCCATTTCCTACTTTCACCGGGTTGGGAGGCATTAGTCCGGTGAAAAGAAGATGCGTAACATGCTATAAGAAGATTCTAGTTTTCAAATAATAAAAACATTAAAAATATAATTCATTTATTATAAGATTCACAAATACTGTACAATAGAACATATAGCATCAGGATATATGGGTACTTCTTTATGGACAAAGAAGTACCTATATATATCCTATCTCTACGTAACTATCCCTCTCTTGCATGGTCTCCACACAGACATGCCATCTCAACAGAATTACTTTTATAAGCTTCCTGTATTAATTTCTCATAGCTTTTATCTTCCTCAACTTTATCCTTAACTATTTGTATCTTTTTACCTATAATTTAAGCTACAATGACTGTTTCTAAATTACTCCTTTAAATTTCACCCATCTGTGAAAGCAAAACAGCTCTAATAATATTTTCCTCATTGTTCCCAAGGGCCAATGTCACCTAAAGTAAAAAACACTAGCACAGGATATTAATATAAGCATTTTAAACCTTGAGTAAATCATTTAGGCACTGTATAAACATCTAGAAACATTAAACAAAAAGATTCTGAAAAGGAAAAAGCCTAATAATTCCGATCATTAACATGAGCACGGATAGTGGACAAGATGCAGTAGGGAAATAGACTAGATGGCACCAATTTGTGAGAAGAGTAAATGTTTTATCTGTATATGACAACTCCCAATTAGCACTATATATCCAGTCTTGTGGAGTAGTAGAGTGGTGATGTGGACTATTTGCTAGTGTCGTGACACTGGTTATTTGAGATGTTATGTATGTGCGTAAGACATGTGTAAGATGTTCGTGTGTAAGATACGGTGAATGGATGGGTGCAATTTTTCATAACTATTGTCTTGTTTTCCTATACTGCTCTGAACCCCTTAATTTTTCTCAAAGTTTTGCCTCCCCACTACATGAAAGCTGAAAATGTAGTAATAATGATGATAATGTAACTATGAAAAACACCTTCTGATCAGCATTTTTATAAGCAGTTCTTAGTTTGCTGAATGGGCAAATAATACCAGAGGATCAAATAAATCAATTGGGCACTCTCATCATTCTCTCTGGCAACACTAGATGCCAGTTTATCCACTGTGAAGACCAGAACAGGTGAACAGCCCATCTGTCTATTCTGCTAAAGTGCCACAATTTTGTTCTTAGTTTTGAAAATCACGTTACTTTAAAGGCAGAGCAAAGCTGTGATGATAATGTAAATTAAATCAATTTAAATTCCACAAAGAGCATAATTTATATATTTGTATACTAATATGTTTTTGCATTTACAAAATTTAATTAAATCTTTTCATCTTATAGCAATATCAACATGTATTAAATATTGTGTCCACTCAATGAAGCTTATAAAGCAATTATTTTCCCACCTGTAATAAGCCTTAAAGACAAATGCTTGAAACTTAACAGATACTAATGACAACTAAGTGAATAATTGTGCATACATAATTTCTCTTAGCCACAACATTTTCCCAACACTGACAAAATCTATTAATCAAGTAAATAAAATTACAGAAGCAGTAACTATCTTTATTATTATATATTTGTCTTAACATTTACAAGAAAGATCAAAGGGTTATATTTTTACAACTTCAGTGTTTAAATTGTACACTTTTGCAAAGCCACTGACCACCCAGTGTTTAAACAAGTGCTTTGTAACTCCAGGCAAATTACACTTCAAATCCACATTAAGAATTTCCCATTGTGTATTACCTATAGAATCAGCATTCTTGCAATCACCTTCATTAACAGAAAAGAGGCAAGCTAAAAAGGCATATTTAGATATAGTCATCTGGAGCCTGGAAACCTTTTAATTGTCCCCGTACCATTAAAGGAGTGGCGCTTAGTATTGAAGATGTAAAAACTAATTATAGAGTAAAATTAAAAAAGAAATAGCACTAAATTAAAAGGAGTATAATTGAGTTAACACACACAGAAAAATTAATAAACAAAAACCATACTACAAAAGAAATAACAATGATTGAACGAACACACATCACAAGTAGAGATACAACATACCAAACGTCTCTCTCCTGACAGTGATGAATCCTCCTCCTCAGTTACATCCACTTCCTGTAAACAGCATCTTTAATGAACTAAACATATTATATCTCGGTTACATTCAGAGTTAGGCATATATTCAGTATGGAAATATGAGGGATGAATATTACAGAAAATTTAAATTTGTGTATGAAATGGGAAAACATTTTGGGGGTATTGAGAGAAGGGTACACCCATTTAGATAACTGTAGGGGCAGGAGTTATTTATTACAGTACAGTACACCCCTAGCTTTGCACTTGTTTTCCACGAATGCTATGGAAGCTTGACACACATAATAATAATAATATAAAACATTATCTTTAATTAACCTGTATCACATGTTAATAATAATAATTCAAAAGTAATTTAAACAAACTATGAATGAAATAATGTGCAGTATTTACCTGATAAATACTCTCATCATGGTTGTTATGGATACACTGATGCCTCCAAGGACTCCAAAATATAAACCCCAGCAAGTAGAGAGAAAACATGCTGGTCTTTAAGTAAGTGCTGAAAAATGGTTTATCAAAGCCGGTGTCATGGAAGATGTACTGAAAGTAAAATAAGATACATGAGTATTACTGCAGATGATATTTATATAAATTATGTTATTGATGCCCTAAAGAATGTAATTAAAATGCAATGCCACACACTAAATTTTTTAAATAAAACAATGTGTTTTAAACACATGTTTATAATAATTGTGCTTTCAGCAGCATATAGATCTACTAAATGAAGAGGCTAACAAGAAACCTTCAACTGCATCTAATGTGTAAATTCGAATTAAAAATTTCTTCATTTTGATAATGATAATGACAAAGAATAGATACGAGATATAAAATCATGAATTTTTCATTAACTGAAAATATGACGTGGGCCACAAACTACACGCAAAACAGGTAATTACCTCGGAAAGTTCTGAGGAAGCCACCCAAATGACGTCGACCAGCAGCAGGACAAATATGCCCAGGGCCAGACGCCTTCCTCGACCCATTGTGTATCATCACTGTAAAACATGAATTATGGCATTAGTGATACGTCTGAATGTTTAAGTATATACGTAATGTGCTAGCAAACACACACACACACAAAAAGAAAGGAGGAAGAATGGTAGGGAGAACAAGAGTGTGTGCATACAGTATAGATTTCAGGTGACAAGCTATGACACATAGCCTCCTGTTTGTAACAATTTCTAATAATGTAATAGTTACAGCAAATCATTATTAAAATTGAGGATACTTGTATCTTGTTCAAAAGCTACAAATGAAAGATATACAGAATAAATTTTGGCATGAAAGAAAAGTAATATGGTAAAATATATCAGATGCAAATAATGTATATATCAGTAAAATCTGTCCTTGGAATAGATCTGATTTTATTGTACAGTATTTCTGATTTTGGGAAAATGCACAAATCTAATCATTTTAGTTTGGCTGAAGTGAGGATTAATTTTCATGTACACTATTTGTAAGAGACATCTCCATATCACAAATACCTTCCTGATCCACAAAACCCCTTAAAATTTTACATGACATTAATGGTACTGACCATAGGTGTCAGTAAATGGATGGTGATGCACATATGTTCCAATTTGTTAATTGGAAAGATAGTTCAAGCCCAGGAAGATAGTTCAAGCCCTTACTATTTTCCCAATATGTTAATTTTTTTTTTTTTTTTTTTTTTGAGATATTTACAAGAGTTGTTACATTCTTGTACAACCACTAGTACGCGTAGCGTTTCGGGCAAGTCCTTAATCCTATGGTCCCTGGAATACGATCCAAAATGATTGCCAAAGGTCTCTAGTGTCATATAAGAATTACATAGAATATTCAGGAGAGCTGAATATTAAGTAGCATATTAAATTATTCACAATGACGGGAGCATTGTTCTATCATTTGAGATTGACAGTAGCAGTTTAAGGTTTTAGGGTGGGAATTTTTTTTCAGCAAAACATTTTTACATTGCCTCTTTTATTATGTTGAAGCAACTGTGCTTAATACAATCAAATTATATGATTTTTAGCTTTAATCCATCTGGATCATTACTCAAATTTATTGAAACAAGGATAGCACTTTGTAGTACAGTATTTATCCTGGGTTTATCCTGATTCCTACTATGGATCCTTATTACATATTTATAGATGAAATTTAACACAGAACCGTAGTTATATTCTGATATATAAGAGGTATTAAATAATTTTGTATTACAGTACATTAGTATCCTAGAGTATCTACTATGTAATCATTTTCTTATAATTGGTAAGGTTGGGCTGTCCCTAATTAGGTGACTGTCACCAAGCATCATTGGTGCGGCACTCGTCTGGAGAAAACACTCGGCATGTACCTCCACAAGTCTGCGGGCTCACCATAGCCCGTGCTATTTGTAACTTATTGTTCCAGGTAGCGAATCTTAAACATCAACAACCTCCACAAACAGAGAGCTAGAGATATGTATTTATCATTTAATCAATCCACTCAGACAGTAAGATTTAAAAAAAAAAAAATTTTTTTTTTAAGTTCTTGGCTCTCTGCAACTAGCAGAACATGAACTGTACTACAATTTCCAAATTTTGTCACATTTAATTTTTTTTATTAGTAGTTACCATGTCACAGCTTCATAATGCTTCAATCCATATATTATTAGTAAACAAAATTAACTCAGGGTCCCGATAGTAGAGTCAGGTTCGTTCTCCACTCATAATCGAGACGTCCGTGTTTGAATCCCAGGCAGGACAGAAATGGTTGGGGGACGTTTCCTATCATTTAATTCCCCTTTTCAGCTAGCAGTAAATAGGTACCTAGGAGTTAGCCAGCTTTTTGTGGGGTTGCACCCTGAGGAGAACCACAATTCAACCCTGGGGAGTACCTCGATAACATGTATTGTATTGTATATATTGGCTGCCCATCCCCTGACACAATAAATTATTAATTATTATTAACTTAAACTAATATATAGTCGCATCCACTCAAATAAAAAATAAATATTTGGGCAGTATAATGAAGGGGTAACATTTAATGTACCTCCTATTTAAATAGAAGCTGCCTTGTATGGGCCAATAGGCCTTCTGCATTACCTTTATTCTTATGTTCTTATGTTAATTTGTATTAATTTTACATGGTTTAGATATGATGTATAGATTCTGCTTCATTGTATTAACTCAATACTGTACCCATAACTGTACCTATAACTGTACTCTACTCAATACTGTATCCATAACCAATAAAGAACAGTATGCTGCCTTAATAAAACTACATTTCATAATGTACTGTGTAACTCACTAGATGCCACTGATAAGAGTAATTTTAGCATGACTAATACCTGACCCAGGAAAAATTGACATAGCATATGACTTATTAGGAATTGAGGTACAGTATATACATACTTGGCTAGCCTTTATCTATATATAATAACCTGCAATAAGACAAGCCAAGTGTTATATAATACATCTATGTCTAGTAATTTGCAACTGCTGTTGCTAGTACATGCAATTTGCAACTGAATATCTAGCATTCGCAATCGACTTGATAATGGTCCAGGACGGACCGAAACGTCGTAGTCTCTTCATTTTCTAGTGTGTGGTCTGGTCAACATCTATCATTCTGATTCTTGTAAAATTTCACAATATTGTTTATTATTATTCACCACATGCCCCGCCCCACACGTACAAACTGCCTATACTGTACCTGATCACTGACCTCCAGCCCACTCCATAATTACACCCCCACACTCCCTATCTCACCTCGTGACCCCCAGCTGACTACCACAGCCAGCAAACCCCTTGTGACCCCAGCAAACTACCACAGCCAGCAGACCCCTCGTGACCCCAGCAAACTACAATAGCCAGCAGACTCCTCGTGACCCCAGATGACTCCCACAGCCAGTAGGCCCCTCGTGACCCCAGCAAACTACCACAGCCAGCAGACCCCTCGTGACCCCAGCTGACTACCACAGCCAGCAGACCCCTTGTGACCCCAACAAATTACCACAGCCAGCAGACTCCTTATGACCCCAGCTGACTACCACAGCCAGCAGACCCCTCGTGACCCCAGCAAACTACCACAGCCAGCAGACTCCTCATGACCCCAGCAAACTACCACAGCCAGCAAATTCCTCGTGACCCCAGCAAACTACCACAGCCAGCAAACTCCTCGTGACCCCAGCAAACTATCACAGCCAGCAGACTCCTCATGACCCCAGCAAACTACCACAGCCAGCAAACTCCTCGTGACCCCAGCAAATTACCACAGCCAGCAGACTCCTCGTGACCCCAGCTGACTCCCACAGCCAGTAGGCCCCTCGTGACCCCAGCAAACTACCACAGCCAGCAGACCCCTCGTGACCCCAGCTGACTACCACAGCCAGCAGACCCCTAGTGACCCCAACAAATTAGCACAACCAGCAGACCCCTCGTGACCCCAGCTGACTACCACAGCCAGCAGACCCCTAGTGACCCCAACAAATTAGCACAACCAGCAGACCCCTCGTGACCCCAGCTGACTACCACAGCCAGCAGACCCCTAGTGACCCCAACAAATTAGCACAACCAGCAGACCCCTCGTGACCCCAGCTGACTACCACAGCCAGCAAACCCCTAGTGACCCCAACAAATTAGCACAACCAGCAGACCCCTCGTGACCCCAGCTGACTACCACAGCCAGCAGACCCCTCGTGACCCCAGCAAACTACCACAGCCAGCAGACCCCTCATGACCCCAGATGACTCCCACAGCCAGCAGACCCCTCGTGACCCCAGCTGACTACCACAGCCAGCAGACCCCTCGTGACCCCAGCAAACCCCTCATAACCCCAGATGACTCCTACAGCCAGCAGACCCCTCGTGACCCCACCCAGCTCACCTGGAGAGCTACATGTGAGGGTAAAGAGGGACCTAGAGGAGCGCCACAGCCATCCCCACCCTCCGCTCAAGGCTTCACTACTGACGTCCACATTTGCAAACTCTCGCAGTTTATATATAATAATATTTATTTTCCTGTTTCCTCACAGCTGGGTGATGACAACTGCCCGATTATTATTTTTTTCGGATAATGAATGTGCATGAGAATGATTTTTTTATCCGTATCATCGATAGGCGTAAATATATTGAAATTGCATATTTAAAAATGTATGAAGAAAATTAAGCTTATATCATTCTTTCGTACGGTTTTTATTTTTAAATCATGCATTTAGTATTTTAGAAGAAGGTATAAATTATAATGGTGAATGTGTTGAGAAATGCACCAAAACAAACACTGGGGGTTTGGTCGAATCGTATATAGCCGTTTCGAATATCATCGGTTAGGTACATATATTACCAGTTCGGTCACACAATTTTTGTATACAGGAACCCTTTCGAATATGTATTTTCAATCCTTGTGAATTTTCAACTCCTTCTGAAGATGTATTTAATATACGAAAGTACTTAAGGAAATTCCGGTTTCAATTTTCTTCCGTGGTCTGACACTGTCACATTTTTAATCACGTGTTTATTTTCGTGATATACACACATATATTTTCAATAAATTCACTTCCCACTTTAGCATATCTCTTAGTGTTATCTGCCAATTTGATGATGTTGTTTGTAATAATGAGGTAAATAAAGGCATTTGCCAGACTTGTGGCTTTATTTATCACATAATCACAGTACAGTTTATAACCTGCAATAAGATAAGCCAAGTGTTATATACAATACAATACAATACAATACAATACAATACAATACAATACAATTTTATTTAGGTAAGGTACATAGATATAATACATCTATGTCTAGTAATTTGCAACTGCTGTTGCTAGTACATGCAATTTGCAACTGAAGTTGCAAGCAATTTAAAGGGATTCTGTATACAAACGTGTTTGTGAACGAACTGGATTTTTATGTACTGAACTGACACTTTCCGAAACGATTAATTACGAGTTGACCAGTTGCTACTAGCAACGTTGCCAGATTGGGCTACAAGTAGCGAATTGGGCTACTTTTGAGAGCCCCGCGCTCCCAAATTTTTAATTTCGCTACTTGCTACTTTTTGGGCTAATTTAAAAGCAAGTTGGGCTAATTTGGCCTACTAAAACACTTTAATGCGCCCGGGCCTCGTGAAAAAAAATAGCTCATTGTGCGCGCGCCGTTTTGGGCTCTTGAGCGTAAACACCAAAAAGTGTGTAATCTTTTCACTCTCCTGACACCAATTCTCGAGCTACGTATTTTATTTTGGTATCAATGTGTTGGCATTAAAATTCTCTACAAGATCATATGTATAAAATGTCACCAAAGCATTAGCTATCCCACCACGAAATAAATAAAACGTAGATCACTCGCCGTGACGCCCAAACAGCAACAAAATGTTCATACTCTTTTGTTTGTTAGCTCCACATTAGTCCTACAATGTTAAATTTTATATCACTGAACTCGCAATAAAATTCCCTATACAGACATATGCATATAAGTGTAGAATCATGATCGCGGCTCACACCAAGAGTGTGTGAAGTGGGCGATTACCCTCGTTGTGTCAACAACTCAATAGTCTCTCCACTAAGTTACAATACAATACCGTTTTCTCAAATAGGCCATGTGCCTATTAGAGAAAACGAAAATTTAATGGCAAACATTTTCATACTAACCCCAAGTCGCTCGAATAAGAATTGGATTTTATATATTTTTTTTTACATCGCGCGGCTATTTACGACGCGGTTGCGGAACTCGTTAAGCAAGCCCGTCGTGTATGTACGACGCGTGTGCATCAAAGTATTTTAATTTAAATTAATGTTAAGAAACGTTATGGTCAGATGCAACACAAACAAGTACCCCGCGATAGCAGCCACAGACTGACAATTTAAATGCGAGCACAGCACACAGTATATCCTTTTACGACCAAAGATCACATTCACTCCAAAAAAATCTTCCACTTACAGTCTATTCATGCCCGTGCCACCTCTTGGGTAGCTTAATCTTCATCAATCAATCACAAACAAGGAACAACGACTTTAAGTTCAACAAGCCACAACTTAGGACAAAAAACGGGAGATTATTTTTCACCCACGTGGGGCATAACAATGCACAACTACCAAATCATCAACATTATCGTGGAGTCAGAATCCACCAATCACTGATAGTTGTACAACAAGTGGAAGCTGCAGTTATAAAAGCAAATCAAATCCTTTGGAATAATCTAACGAAATTTTGACGAAGGAAAAGGTAGTTATACAACTGTATAAATCTCTGGTGTGCTTCCACTTGATTATTATATCCACGCATTGAGGCTTCATCTTCAGAAAGACATATCTGCTTTGGAGAAATATGATAGGCCAAATATTCTTCTGCCAGAAAAACAAACTGCCGGTCAACAGTATCATGGAGTGAGGATCTATGTGGGCAACTCTGTTCTCAATGTATTTAATCTATATGCTCCAGCAGGAAAGTTAAATTATATTGATCTTCCGGCCTGCGCTCAAGCAGAGCCAACCATCATTCTTGGTGACTACAATGCTAGACACAAGGACATTGGTGGCTCTCGCTTCAGTAACGGTAACGGGAATCAACTGCTGTCGCTACTAAATAGTCACCAAGATGTGCAGATTGTGGGTGACCTTGAACCCACGCATATTTGTGGAGGCATTCTAGACCTCTGTGTTGGTTTCAACGTCTCTCACGTCTGGTGCACATCATCTATTGTAACAGATTTGTTGTCAGATCATCACCCTAGATTGACTACTCTATGTATAGGAAATACTATCCTGCCCGGTGGGACTTTCAAACGCAAACGGCTCAGTGTTCCTCCTGCTCGACGTGAAGACTTTGTTGCTCATGTGTCAGAGTGGTACAGCACTTATGATCCCTCCACAGTCCAGACATTTAACGACGGTCTAGTACAGAGCATTCAGATGTTTGTTGACCCTTTAGGTCGGCCCCCTGCACCATCCAATAGTCGCAACGATATGAAAGGTAATAAACGCCATGCCTATTACAATGACCCCAAACTGCGTACTTTGAAACGCACTGCCAGACGAGTTGGGCTTGCATATAGGGAAACACGTACGCCAGCAATGCTCAAGCTCTTTCAGAAAGCCCTAGCCAAGGCGAGGGAGCGCATGACAGAGCTCAGGCAAGATAACTGGGAAACTTTTGTTAACAGTCTCAACTCTCACACCCCCCTCAGCCAGGCATGGAAGGATATTAAAAGAATTAAAGGCGATAAGCTCGGCCAAGTAGCACACCCTCACCCTCTACACAGAGCAAACGAGTTAGTCGATGCTTGGGCAACCACCTCTAGCTTCAATAATCTTCCCCCAGACATACAGTTCAGATTAAATGCTGGTTACGGAGATCGAGAAAGGCTCGTTGACTTCATGCTCCACAAGGAAGATGAATGCAACGTGCCATTTACTGAGTTTGAATTACTCGCGGCCCTAAACAAAGGCAAAGCCACATCCCCCGGTGAAGATGGTATCACTTATGACATATTGCGTCTGCTCCCTTTAGTACCAGGGAATCCTTACTAGCTGCATTTGCAAAACATTCGAGAGAATGGTCCTAAACCGTCTCCTCCATCGAATAAGAACCATGCTATCCCCCCAGATATATGGCTTCATGCATGGAAGGAGTGTGCATCATTGCATCACCACCTTTCTTACCCTGCACACTGAAAAGTCATATACCACCTTCCTAGATCTTAAGTCTGCCTTTGATATTGCAAATAGACATGTTATCTTGAGTGAGCTTGCAAGAATGAATATTGGTGGTCGGCTTCTTTGTTGGATCAGGGGTTACTTATCCAACAGGAAGTCATCTGTATTTTTCCAGGGGCATAGAAGTGTAACAAGAGACTTTGAACTAGGCACCCCGCAGGGTGGTGTCCTCAGTCCTACCTTATTCAATATCTTAATAAACACGCTGTTAAACTCTGTACCGAGCAAACCCAACGTCCACATCATTAGCTATGCTGATGATATAATGATACACACCGCTGGTTATGCTAACACGCAGAACACTCTTAACTCTGTATTAGACTCATGTCAGGACCTAGGTTTAATTATCTCAGCAGAGAAAACAAAGATATTAAATCGGCGCCCACCCAGGCAGGGAGGAGCTGTTCGCAAGATGCAACTGTCTGATGGCTCCCAGCTTGACTATGTAAACAGATTCAAATACCTTGGCCTTGAGGTGCCACTGTACGGTCCTGTTGTATTCAGACTCTGTCGTCAGTTTAAAGAGAGGCTCCGAGCTCTCAAGGCTGTTGCAGGTTATCACTCAAGCTATGGTGCCAATGTCAGAATTGTCAAAATGATGTACTTTGCATACATCAGATCTTTAGTAGATTATGCTGCACCTCTGCTTGCTTTGATGCCTGAAAGAAAGCTTGGAGGGCTTGAAAAATTGCAAAACGAAGCCTTGAGGATAATCCTTGGGTGCCCTCGTACCACAAAGATACTTAATATGAGAAAGGAACTTAATATTCTGAGCGTTGTTGATCGTGTTACTGAAATTAACTGTCAAATTGGTATAAAAATGCTTAGGCTAACTCATCCTAATCCTTGCACAGAAGCCCTCCAGAATTTCTTTATTGAAGATCAGCATTGTTCCAAATGGATAACAAAAACTGGAACCCAACTCAGAATGTATCAGGTTCATGATTTGTACCAAGAGAAACAACAGCGGCACTTTCCTGCACCGTGGGAGGTTACACCCTTTCCAGTTTTAATCCCTCCCTTTCCACCCAAGAAGCAAATTAGAGATCAGCCCAAGCTTCGTCTTGAGGCAAAGCTCAACGCCTTAAGCCATATTGATGCTCTGTCCACAGAGCATTCTCTCTCTCAAATTATATACACTGATGGTTCCCTACACCGCACCACGGGTGCAGCTGGAAGTGCAGTTGTCCTGACAATGGGCGATGGCCTATACTTTGAGTGGGGAGTCCGTATAAACAACTGGGCCTCTACCCTTCAGACTGAACTATTTGCCTTGATCCTTGCACTGAAATGTGTACAAGTCTCAAAACTTGATACATTAATTGTAAGTGACTCCTTATCATCCTTAAATGCTCTCAACTCTTTAAGACATAACTGTAACATGCTCGTGTCCGAAGCTAGACACAAATACAACAAAATTACTAAGGATGGTAACAGAGTCCATTTCATGTGGTCTCCATCTCATGTTGGCCTCCGAATGCATGATAGAGCTGATAAGTTAGCCAAAGAATCTGCCTTTAAAGGAGCCGTTGAGTGTAACCTTGGATTGTCAATGAGCAATCTGAGAGCAGCTGTACACCGAGAACTTCAACAAGATCTTGTAGATCTGAGGCAAAGTGAAATTGACACCAGTAATTCCATCTATCATCATACTATCATGCAAGAGGAGCCACACATCTATGGATCATCCAATAAAATCAGCAGACTTCTAGATGTTACTACTGCTCGGCTTAGACTCGGTTACAAGTATCTCTGGGAATTCTCATTATCTGCTGATGTAGACCTGACCAAATGTAAACTGTGTCAACAAAATTATTCGCACACCCTCCGTCACTATGTGATGGAGTGCGAAAAGATACGTGAATTTAGAGACAATTCTATAACCAATGTTCCAGCGATGTGTCAATATTTCATTCAAAATGATCTGCTACCAGAAATTTTAGCCAAATATCCCCAGTTTGCTAACTGTAGGTAGTAACTAAGTGATTGTAACCTATCCACCGCTGCCCACTGGATGGGGGGCGGTGTGCAGGACAAACATATAAATTTTGACACTAGCTCTCCACATATGTCAGTTGCTTAATTTAGAACCTGTACTTGAGGTCGATCTCGAACCCATTGTTGATGTGATGACTTATATTGAATTTTGTAACTAGCTCATCAAGATTGTAACTTGCTTAGCTAAATGAATTGTGGGGTTCAGTCCCTGAGCCCATTATGTGCCTCTGTAACCCTTTCCACTACCGCCCACAAGATGGGTATGGGGTGCATAATAAATGAACTAAACTAAAAACTATTTCAGCCACGTTATTGAGACTCCTCGTCTGCAGGTGTTTGTTTGCTAGGTCAGTATAGGTACACAACTGGTCGAGTTCTTGTTCACTCGGACACGAGACGATTCGGCTAAACTCTTTTTCTGTTTTAAATCCTGATGTATTGTTATGCTAGGCTGTATTAGGTTATGTTATTAAGGTTAGGCTGCATTGGCCTCGGTTGGATTAGATTGGTTTGATTTGGGTTACGTTAGGTCGGGTTGAGCTAGGTTAGTCAGGTTTCAAAATTCCACTTCGCCACGGAGCAGTCTCTGTGGCGCAGTGGTAAAGCACGCGCCCGGCTCTTCGCCAGCCCTTTGACCTGGATTGAATTGAAATTGAAATTGAAATTGAAATAAGTTTATTGAGGTAAAATACACACAAAGGGATGAGGTAGGTCAAGCTATTCTCACCCCGTTCAGTACATCGTGTTAATACATACATATACACACATCACAAACAATAAACATATTACCAAACATTCTGAAAGATAAACATACATTTCCTCCTTTACGCAAGTATTGACCTGGGATCGTATCCTGGCCGGGAAGGATTGACAGGACGCCAGTCCTTAACTGTTCACTCAGCAGAGAATTGGTTGTTAAATGATTTGGCGGGTCGTACTCCTTGGTAATAATTAGGATTAAGAAAACGCTATGCGTGTTACAAGAATTTAGAAAAGAATTTACAAGAATTTAAAAACTTGTTTATATATAAATAAAAAAATATAAAAAATCCGCAGACGAATCTTCTTGTGTGCGATATGAGGCTTAATGGTAACTGGCATAATTAAAATCTTAACATAAATAATTCGTTTGTTAGACAATATATGATATTCAGATCTATAAATTACTTTAGAAAGGCCTATAATGAATATAAATATTAATTTACACATTCCTGGCGCTATATGCTAGGAATTTCAGGTTTTTGAATTTGAATATTGGCGTTCAAGTAATTTTAGGCCGAGGGTCTCTGGGTCGGTTGGTCGCGTGCGGGTGACCGGGTCATCGAGGCCTACCCCGTCAGTCGTCAAGAAGCAGCGGTGGCGTGCGGTGCATCGCTCCCGTGTAGGTAAGGGTGATAATTTTTTTTTGTTGGTTTTGTAGATATATCTGAGCAGTGGGGAAGTACGCATGACTACATAGTCTACCTCCACCTACAATGCTTCATGCATTATACATTTGTTCGCTATTATAACATTGAGTTTTGTAATGTCTCGAGGGTTATTGTTTCCGTATTTTTTTTTTCATCCGGGTTCTGTAGTATTCAAATGTTTGTGTCCTCTCTCGGATATTGTGGAAGATTTTGAGGATCATGATTTGCCAACATTATATGGGTAGGGTATGATGTAGAATACACTTCCGCAGTGTTAAACTACCCCGTCGCCAGCAGCTCTTTAAAACTAGGCTTGCGCTTACGCAACTGGTGAGGCTCCGGTTACGCAACTGGTCGGGCTCCGGTTACACAACTGGTCGGGCACCGGTTACACAACTTGTCGGGGTCCGGTTACATAACTCCGGTGGTGTGATCTGTTCGGCTTTGGGTTGTGCATGGTTGTGCTCCGGTTCTTACATGGTTGTGCTCCTGCGGTTGTTTGTGTACTAGTGCTCCAGGTTTGTTTACTAGGGCTCTATGCTTATATGTTTGTTAGAAATTCGGGTTTCTTTTTTTTGTATATAGTTCATTTGTTTGCTATGGGTCAATAGTTGGTGTCTAGGGCAAGTGGAGGGTTTTAGGTAGGGCTAAGGAGATTTTTGTTTGGTCGAGCTAGGAATGGAGTTTGGTTGTGCTCTGGGACTGTTTAGTTTGGTGGGGATGAGATGTATACTTGCTAGGCTTATGGTTACACAACTGGTCGGGGTCTGGTTACACAACTGGTTGAGCTTCGGTTACACAACTGGTCGGGCTCCGGTTAAATAACTGGTCGGGCTCCGGTTAAATAACTGGTCGGGCTCCGGTTATATTAACTGGTCGGGCTCCGGGGGTGTCACTCCAGCTTTGGGTTGTGCATGGTCAGGCTTCGATTCGTGTATGGTTGTGCTTCAGCGGTTGTTTGTGTACTAGTGCTCCAGGTTTGTTTGCTAAGGCTCTATGTTTATATGTTTGCTAAAAATCCGGGTTTCTTTTTTTGTATATAGTTCAATTGTTTGCTATGGGTCAATAGTTGGTGTCTAGGGCAAGTGGAGGGTTTTAGGTAGGGCTAAGGAGATTTTTGTTTGGTCGAGCTAGGAATGGAGTTTGGTTGTGCTCTGGGACTGTTTAGTTTGGTGGGGATGAGATGTATACTTGCTAGGCTTATGGTTACACAACTGGTCGGGGTCTGGTTACACAACTGGTTGAGCTTCGGTTAAATAACTGGTCGGGCTCCGGTTAAATAACTGGTCGGGCTCCGGTTAAATAACTGGTCGGGCTCCGGTTATATTAACTGGTCGGGCTCCGGGGGTGTCACTCCAGCTTTGGGTTGTGCATGGTCAGGCTTCGATTCGTGTATGGTTGTGCTTCAGCTGTTGTTTGTGTACTTGTGCTCCAGGTTTGTTTGCTAAGGCTCTATGTTTGTTTGCTAAAAATCCGGGTTTCTTTTTTTGTATATAGTTCAATTGTTTGCTATGGGTCAATAGTTGGTGTCTAGGGCAAGTGGAGGGTTTTAGGTAGGGCTAAGGAGATTTTTGTTTGGTCGAGCTAGGAATGGAGTTTGGTTGTGCTCTGGGACTGTTTAGTTTGGTGGGGATGAGATGTATACTTGCTAGGCTTATGGTTACACAACTGGTCGGGGTCTGGTTACACAACTGGTTGAGCTTCGGTTACACAACTGGTCGGGCTCCGGTTAAATAACTGGTCGGGCTCCGGTTAAATAACTGGTCGGGCTCCGGTTATATTAACTGGTCGGGCTCCGGGGGTGTCACTCCAGCTTTGGGTTGTGCATGGTCAGGCTTCGATTCGTGTATGGTTGTGCTTCAGCGGTTGTTTGTGTACTAGTGCTCCAGGTTTGTTTGCTAAGGCTCTATGTTTATATGTTTGCTAAAAATCCGGGTTTCTTTTTTTGTATATAGTTCAATTGTTTGCTATGGGTCAATAGTTGGTGTCTAGGGCAAGTGGAGGGTTTTAGGTAGGGCTAAGGAGATTTTTGTTTGGTCGAGCTAGGAATGGAGTTTGGTTGTGCTCTGGGACTGTTTAGTTTGGTGGGGATGAGATGTATACTTGCTAGGCTTATGGTTACACAACTGGTCGGGGTCTGGTTACACAACTGGTTGAGCTTCGGTTACACAACTGGTCGGGCTCCGGTTAAATAACTGGTCGGGCTCCGGTTAAATAACTGGTCGGGCTCCGGTTATATTAACTGGTCGGGCTCCGGGGGTGTCACTCCAGCTTTGGGTTGTGCATGGTCAGGCTTCGATTCGTGTATGGTTGTGCTTCAGCGGTTGTTTGTGTACTAGTGCTCCAGGTTTGTTTGCTAAGGCTCTGTTTATATGTTTGCTAAAAATCCGGGTTTCTTTTTTTGTATATAGTTCAATTGTTTGCTATGGGTCAATAGTTGGTGTCTAGGGCAAGTGGAGGGTTTTAGGTAGGGCTAAGGAGATTTTTGTTTGGTCGAGCTAGGAATGGAGTTTGGTTGTGCTCTGGGACTGTTTAGTTTGGTGGGGATGAGATGTATACTTGCTAGGCTTATGGTTACACAACTGGTCGGGGTCTGGTTACACAACTGGTTGAGCTCCGGTTAAATAACTGGTCGGGCTCCGGTTAAATAACTGGTCGGGCTCCGGTTAAATAACTGGTCGGGCTCCGGTTATATTAACTGGTCGGGCTCCGGGGGTGTCACTCCAGCTTTGGGTTGTGCATGGTCAGGCTTCGATTCGTGTATGGTTGTGCTTCAGCGGTTGTTTGTGTACTAGTGCTCCAGGTTTGTTTGCTAAGGCTCTATGTTTATATGTTTGCTAAAAATCCGGGTTTCTTTTTTTGTATATAGTTCAATTGTTTGCTATGGGTCAATAGTTGGTGTCTAGGGCAAGTGGAGGGTTTTAGGTAGGGCTAAGGAGATTTTTGTTTGGTCGAGCTAGGAATGGAGTTTGGTTGTGCTCTGGGACTGTTTAGTTTGGTGGGGATGAGATGTATACTTGCTAGGCTTATGGTTACACAACTGGTCGGGGTCTGGTTACACAACTGGTTGAGCTTCGGTTACACAACTGGTCGGGCTCCGGTTAAATAACTGGTCGGGCTCCGGTTAAATAACTGGTCGGGCTCCGGTTATATTAACTGGTCGGGCTCCGGGGGTGTCACTCCAGCTTTGGGTTGTGCATGGTCAGGCTTCGATTCGTGTATGGTTGTGCTTCAGCGGTTGTTTGTGTACTAGTGCTCCAGGTTTGTTTGCTAAGGCTCTGTTTATATGTTTGCTAAAAATCCGGGTTTCTTTTTTTGTATATAGTTCAATTGTTTGCTATGGGTCAATAGTTGGTGTCTAGGGCAAGTGGAGGGTTTTAGGTAGGGCTAAGGAGATTTTTGTTTGGTCGAGCTAGGAATGGAGTTTGGTTGTGCTCTGGGACTGTTTAGTTTGGTGGGGATGAGATGTATACTTGCTAGGCTTATGGTTACACAACTGGTCGGGGTCTGGTTACACAACTGGTTGAGCTTCGGTTACACAACTGGTCGGGCTCCGGTTAAATAACTGGTCGGGCTCCGGTTAAATAACTGGTCGGGCTCCGGTTATATTAACTGGTCGGGCTCCGGGGGTGTCACTCCAGCTTTGGGTTGTGCATGGTCAGGCTTCGATTCGTGTATGGTTGTGCTTCAGCGGTTGTTTGTGTACTAGTGCTCCAGGTTTGTTTGCTAAGGCTCTATGTTTATATGTTTGCTAAAAATCCGGGTTTCTTTTTTTGTATATAGTTCAATTGTTTGCTATGGGTCAATAGTTGGTGTCTAGGGCAAGTGGAGGGTTTTAGGTAGGGCTAAGGAGATTTTTGTTTGGTCGAGCTAGGAATGGAGTTTGGTTGTGCTCTGGGACTGTTTAGTTTGGTGGGGATGAGATGTATACTTGCTAGGCTTATGGTTACACAACTGGTCGGGGTCTGGTTACACAACTGGTTGAGCTTCGGTTACACAACTGGTCGGGCTCCGGTTAAATAACTGGTCGGGCTCCGGTTAAATAACTGGTCGGGCTCCGGTTATATTAACTGGTCGGGCTCCGGGGGTGTCACTCCAGCTTTGGGTTGTGCATGGTCAGGCTTCGATTCGTGTATGGTTGTGCTTCAGCGGTTGTTTGTGTACTAGTGCTCCAGGTTTGTTTGCTAAGGCTCTATGTTTATATGTTTGCTAAAAATCCGGGTTTCTTTTTTTGTATATAGTTCAATTGTTTGCTATGGGTCAATAGTTGGTGTCTAGGGCAAGTGGAGGGTTTTAGGTAGGGCTAAGGAGATTTTTGTTTGGTCGAGCTAGGAATGGAGTTTGGTTGTGCTCTGGGACTGTTTAGTTTGGTGGGGATGAGATGTATACTTGCTAGGCTTATGGTTACACAACTGGTCGGGGTCTGGTTACACAACTGGTTGAGCTTCGGTTACACAACTGGTCGGGCTCCGGTTAAATAACTGGTCGGGCTCCGGTTAAATAACTGGTCGGGCTCCGGTTAAATAACTGGTCGGGCTCCGGTTAAATAACTGGTCGGGCTCCGGTTATATTAACTGGTCGGGCTCCGGGGGTGTCACTCCAGCTTTGGGTTGTGCATGGTCAGGCTTCGATTCGTGTATGGTTGTGCTTCAGCGGTTGTTTGTGTACTAGTGCTCCAGGTTTGTTTGCTAAGGCTCTGTTTATATGTTTGCTAAAAATCCGGGTTTCTTTTTTTGTATATAGTTCAATTGTTTGCTATGGGTCAATAGTTGGTGTCTAGGGCAAGTGGAGGGTTTTAGGTAGGGCTAAGGAGATTTTTGTTTGGTCGAGCTAGGAATGGAGTTTGGTTGTGCTCTGGGACTGTTTAGTTTGGTGGGGATGAGATGTATACTTGCTAGGCTTATGGTTACACAACTGGTCGGGGTCTGGTTACACAACTGGTTGAGCTTCGGTTACACAACTGGTCGGGCTCCGGTTAAATAACTGGTCGGGCTCCGGTTAAATAACTGGTCGGGCTCCGGTTATATTAACTGGTCGGGCTCCGGGGGTGTCACTCCAGCTTTGGGTTGTGCATGGTCAGGCTTCGATTCGTGTATGGTTGTGCTTCAGCGGTTGTTTGTGTACTAGTGCTCCAGGTTTGTTTGCTAAGGCTCTGTTTATATGTTTGCTAAAAATCCGGGTTTCTTTTTTTGTATATAGTTCAATTGTTTGCTATGGGTCAATAGTTGGTGTCTAGGGCAAGTGGAGGGTTTTAGGTAGGGCTAAGGAGATTTTTGTTTGGTCGAGCTAGGAATGGAGTTTGGTTGTGCTCTGGGACTGTTTAGTTTGGTGGGGATGAGATGTATACTTGCTAGGCTTATGGTTACACAACTGGTCGGGGTCTGGTTACACAACTGGTTGAGCTTCGGTTACACAACTGGTCGGGCTCCGGTTAAATAACTGGTCGGGCTCCGGTTAAATAACTGGTCGGGCTCCGGTTATATTAACTGGTCGGGCTCCGGGGGTGTCACTCCAGCTTTGGGTTGTGCATGGTCAGGCTTCGATTCGTGTATGGTTGTGCTTCAGCGGTTGTTTGTGTACTAGTGCTCCAGGTTTGTTTGCTAAGGCTCTATGTTTATATGTTTGCTAAAAATCCGGGTTTCTTTTTTTGTATATAGTTCAATTGTTTGCTATGGGTCAATAGTTGGTGTCTAGGGCAAGTGGAGGGTTTTAGGTAGGGCTAAGGAGATTTTTGTTTGGTCGAGCTAGGAATGGAGTTTGGTTGTGCTCTGGGACTGTTTAGTTTGGTGGGGATGAGATGTATACTTGCTAGGCTTATGGTTACACAACTGGTCGGGGTCTGGTTACACAACTGGTTGAGCTCCGGTTACACAACCGGTCGAGCTCCGGTTACACAACCGGTCGGGCTCCGGTTACACAACCGGTCGGGCTCCGGTTACACAACCGGTCGGGCTCTGGTTACACAACCGGTCGGGCTCTGGTTACACAACCGGTCGGGCTCCGGTTACACAACTGTTCGGGCTCCGGTTACACAACCGGTCGGGCTCCGGTTACACAACCGGTCGGGCTCTGGTTACACAACTGTTCGGGCTCCAGGGGTTTTACTTGGGCTTCAGGTTGTGCATTAAGCTCTGTGTGTAATGAAATTTTAAAATAAAGTTGGAGATATATATACACACATACCAAAAGAATAGCGGTGGTAGAAGAAAAAAACAGTGTTAGTGAGGATCCACAAGGTCTTCTCTGGGTACTCATTATTTTCTTCTGAGGCTATGGGTCCCTACACTTGCACCAGAGGTGGTACCCCTGTTAGGTTAAAAAAATATATATATATATGTGTGTGTGTGTGTGTGTGCAGAAATAATATTAAAACAATTACATCGTGTAGTGTACTCTATACATCAAAATATATTACTTTGAAACCTGTATCAGTCATAAAAAAATTAAACAAAAAATTGGGCTACTCTTATTACAATTTCGCTACTTTTTGACCATCAGATCGCTACTTTTGGAGCTGGCATCCCTGGACTTGCTGGTAAACATTGTGATGATGGCGGCTCAGGAAGGTGTTAATGTGGACACTCTGACAACGACCCTCGGCACTCTCAGGACTCTCAGGAGCAGCGTTACACTCTTCTTCAAGATAGTATCAGAAGGTCCCAAGGATGAAAACAGCAATGAAGGGGAAAATAATTTTGCTGAGGAGGCAATGAAGGTCATGGCTGACATCAAGTCACAGCTACGGTAAGCACGAGCGATTTGTCCTGGGTTCGTATCCTGGCCGGGGAGGATTGACTGGGCGCCAGTCCTTAACTGTAGCCTCTGTTCACCCTGCAGTGAATGGGTATACCTGGTTGTTAAACGATTTGGTGACTCGTATTCCAGGGAGAATTAAGATTTAAGAATTAGCCCGAAATGCTATGCGAGCTAGTGGCTTTACAAGAAAGTAAGAACTATTGTGTATATAAATAAGTAAAAACATTAATTTACCCTGAGCGTTTCGGTAGTGACCTCGGCGAGGGCAAGAAGCCAGAGGTGTGTTAAAGGTCCCTTCATTTGTCCTTATTATTTTATCCAGCTGGGTTTTGAACTGCAGTAATCTTTTGGCATGTTTTGTAATGTTAAGTCCTTCAGCTGTACCTGGCATGAGTCGACTTGAATTGATTGTAATTGTTTTATTTTCATTATCTGTAATGCAGCAGGAAAATATTTTATTTATCTCTAATATTTATGTAGTTAACGATTTGGAAAATTCAACTTTTCTTTTTTCTTTTGGGTAATATTTCATTATAAAATGAGTATTTATTCAAGTTAAATTGTTAATTACATTTTACATTCATTCCCAATATTTCTATTTTTAAATGTCATATACAGCACCATTTTTTGTTCCTCCCTCAACAAAGTGCAGTAATAAAGTTTAATTTTACACTAGGTCTTGATGAAAGTCTTCAGAATTTGCTACTGCAAATTTTTCATTTAAGGAATTTAGCAGTACTGTATGGTAGATTTTTGTGCCAAATAGCTCATTAACTGAGAATATCTCAAACAGTTTAGCAGCAGCTAGTCAGATATAGTTTTACTAGTTAATCATAAGAATAAAGAAAAGACTAACATGGTGAGGTGGAGACAGACATATAGTGTATCACTAGTACAGTCACAAATGACAAAGTAATTTGATATAAAGTTTGTAGGGCATTGAAAAGAAATTGTTTGACCTTAAATAATGCTTTTAGAACTTTAAATATGAACACTGCATTTGTCTGCCATGGCATATAAACAATAGAGATTAATGAAGCTCTTTGTTAAAAGTAATGAAATGTGTTAAAACATAATTACAGTATATACTTTAATTATACAGTATTGCCATTTATACAAAAATTTATTTGAATCAAACTTTGCATTTCCCAAAATCCCCTTTTAATTGGTACAGTAGTTGGTGACAAGTCTGTTAGTGACAATTATTTGGCCCGATTTGGCATTTGGCCCAATTTATTAAGAACCACTGTATAATCATCTCATTATTGCTGAAGGAACCACAATACATAACAAAAAATTTAATGTATCAGGTCCTTGCTCTACACTTGCTGCTTTATTCACAATTTGTCCAGTCTACTCTATTCCGTCTTTGTTTTCAATCTTTTTTCGAGGTTTGTAGTAAATTTTCTTTTATATCATTCTTGAAACTCTAGTTGACCAGACCACACACTAGAAGGTGAAGGGACGACGACGTTTCGGTCCATCCTGGACCATTCTCAAGTCGATTGTGAACAAGTCAATTCCCAATCGACTTGAGAATGGTCCAGGACAGACCGAAACATCGTCGTCCCTTCACCTTCTAGTGTGTGGTCTGGTCAACTTACTTTAACCACGTTATTGTGACTCATCGCCTGCATATTGAAGCTCTAGCCTAACCCGGTTAATTCTGTAATAATTTTGTAGAATAAAAGCTAACAAGAACTTGCTAAACTTACAGAGAATTGGAGACACAAGTAGCAGGCCTCAGTCCACCATCAAACCCAGTAAACCTTGGCAACACAGGACTCCTCTCGTTGGATCCCACACCAGATAAATTACCACTCTACTATCAGCTGCTGGACTGTTACACATGGATGGAGAAGGTAGGAAATAAGCAAGTTTATGTTTTGCACTAAGAATGGCCCAAATAAATTAACAAAATTAAAATAAAATTTATATATTTTTGGGGTTATAACATTCAATTTTATTTTTATCAGGTAAAAATTAAAGTGTTCCAATGTTTTATAAGAAGAATACTACGTTTTATAGAAAAATTTATTTTGGGATCCTGAATGCATTTAAGAAATATCCAAGTGTTTTTAGTTCTGTAAAATAATCTAAGTTTTATTAACAGTAATATAAAAGGTATATCCAGATTAACTGAGTAAATCTCTGCTCTTAAAAATAAAATGGATTATGTTTTTTGAGCCGTGAACTCTTCAAAATTGCCATAGTTCCTATAATCATCCACTCCTGTACACAATTAGATCCTTTGTAGTCATTTAACCATAGCTGTAAAATAAGTTGTAAAATACACTGGCAACTTGGAATACCTGTCTCAATCACCCACATGTGTTTAAACTATATAAAATACAGTACTATATATATATATATACACAGTATATTGTTTATTCATTTATTCAACAGGTCCATTGTTACTCCACAATAATGCACTCTCTCTTCTCTGGAAATAACCTCAAGAGATCATCCGTATCATCACCTTATTCTGCCAAGAGGAGACGGCCTGTTCAGTTAAACCACAATGTACCTCAACAGTAAGACCTTATCTGTTCAATTTTTTGTGATGTCAAATTGTGTGCCAAGTTGAATACAGTATGGAGTGAGTCAGGGCAGAAATGTCTAGTGCAATGAAAACCTGGGTGAGGAAGAGCTAAATATTTAGAGATGCTGCCAGAGGGCTGTATGAAGAAGTGAAAGGGGCATATCCTTATTTTCAGATGCCTGACCCTGGTATAGCATTGGCAGTTGAGATGAGCTATCCAGTAAATGTATGTGTTACTATGAAAATAAGTTGAGTAAGGAAAGAAAATAATATTAAATGATTTGGAGTACAAAATTCTGTAAACTGCAATATTGTGGTGAGCATATTCCAGCAAATATGAAGGTTTGGATGTTATTTTCTGGGTTCATTCCACCCAAACAGTTCACATAAGGAGTGTCGAAATGTGCTCACAGGTGGCCTTGTCCGTTTATGTACACCTAAAATGTAGTGGGAAATGCACGAGGCCTTCTACAGTGGCTGTGAGACACTCGGCAGGCCTCAGGTGGATCTGTTTGCATTCACATGAAACTGCATGCTGCCTGTTTATTTGTCCATTTCTCAACAGGAAGGTTTTTGTATTGTATCTCGACAAGAACCAGTGAGAGAGAATTTATCTTTTTCCTACAACCAGGATACTTCCCATGATGAGAGCTGGGAATTTTTGTGGATCATGTCTCTGCTCGTTTCCTTATGGACTGTTCAGCCCTTGTTTCTAACATTCCGCTCTTGGGTTAAACTTTCCTGGTTCAGTCCCCAAACCTGCAGTTTCCAGAAGATTGGAGGCTGAACTTGCATAAACTTTTCATGTTTATCCGCAGACCTTTTCTTCTGGCATTTATAGTGCAGTTTTGCCCCTGCCTATTACTGCATTTGTAGCTCATTGACTCTCTGCCTTCGGGTTCATAGAGCTTTTCATGGGGGTGTATCTGGTTAAATCTTATTTTGTTTGAGGGTTTAAAATGCTTTACTTATTTACAGTCACACCTGGTTGGTGTGTTCATCTCTTAATTTCTTCTTGGTTTGACTACAGGTTTCCTTGCCCAGCCTTGGCCTATGTTAAGACAAAGTTTAATTAGGATTTATCTCAAACTCCTGCCTTGACTACCAAGCCTTATTATCCATATTATTGCAAGGTGGATGTTCAGGTTATCTAACATTGGTTGTGTATGGATGATGTGGAATGATAAGACCTGAAATATGTAATTGTAGGGTTGAACTGTAGTGAAATTCGCCACTAACATTCAAGCCTTTAAATATTTTATTGACAACTTAATTTGTATTTATTCTATCATAATACATTTTTTGAATGTTACCGTTACAGTAACTGAATATTGTTTTAATATAAAAATTTAATAAATTATCCCTTCGCAAATGATAGTAATTGTTAGGAATTTAGGTACACAATATATTCTGTATATAATAATGCACAACTAGATTGGTAATAAAATTGGTGTTCTGATTTTACTTGAAATATATATACACTATATAAAAATGTAAAAACCTCTACATTTGTTATTAAATATTTAATTTCTTAAAAACATGGAAAGTACTTAATTCATTAATATTTAAACAGACAACAGAACATGTATTATGAAATCTAATTGAATGCTAGAGTAATTACAAAAGTTTTAAGACTGAGATGTTGAATACCACACCAACATTGTTGTTCCTATAATTGCATGTATACATATTTTCACTTGAGCACCTGTTAAAATGCTCACTTGACCCTTGGTCTATAGTAATAATTCATTTTGGTTTGGTTTGTATTCCAGACAAGTGGATGGGATAATTCAAGGCATAAATCAGATGTTCCCAGACATGACACTCAACCTGTCTCGACCATTTGGTAACAATGCTGTAGTCCAGGTATTGTATTACTGCACTTTTATTTTGTTTACCATTTTAGAAAAACAAGTTTTGAACACCTAATTCAACAATGATTAGTGCATTTATCTGTTCTTTATCTTCCAATCACGTTTTTAATGATATTTGTAGATGTTGCCCCTATCTTCGAAAATCATTAAAAATGTGATTGGAGGCATATTAAACGGTTACCGCTGTGCAGTCCCCGTGGAACAGTGGTAACACACACACACTCCCCCCACGCTTTGCGAGCAATTTTGCCTGGGTTCGTATCCTGGCTGGGGAGGTTTGACTAGTAGCCAGTCCTTCACTGTATGCCTCTGTTCACCCAGCAGTGAATGGGTACCTGGTTAACCCTTGAATGGCGCCTGGCTATTTAGCATGTCACTCGGGTGCATACCAAAAAAAAAAATTTTTTTTTCTTCTAAACCTGTTAATTTGTATTTGATCATAAGAAAAATAATAAAAAAATCATAAGAGGCATATATTGCCCGCTAGAGGGTGGGGAAGTCTGGCAAAAAACAGGTGCTGACTCAGCGTGCGTCCCAGGCGGTCTGTTACTCGCCAGCTGTCAGGCCGGAGTTGCCACAAAGAGATAATTACCTAATTATTTCAATGTGTCGTGATTGATTTTTCGTAGTTTTTTTGCTGTAATATTATTCTATAGTGTGTAGTGTGATATATTTATATAATAAAATGAGTGAATCATTGCTGTACTCAAAAATATGGTGTGCATATTGTTGATTCAATTATGTTCATCAAACAGTGAACAAATACTTCGTCGGTTATTACACTATATACACAGGTTATATGTATCTATCTGCATGTTTTGTTCACCATAACGAACCACTAAGTTGCTATTATGAGTCAAAAAGTAACGAGGAGTGACCGCCACACACCAGCCAGCCACTCACTCCCTCCCTCAACCCAACCTCACTTGCCCACATTCTCCTCCCACCATACTGTTTTTGCTTTTATTCACTATATACAGACGTTATATATAACGTCTGTATAACGTAACAAAACATGCAGATACTTATATATAAGTATCTACATTTGTGTTCACCATAACGAACCACTAAGTTGTCATTCTGAGTGGCAGTGCCAGTGGCAGCTTGCCACTGGCTGCTACTTCCTCCCTCCCTCAAGTCACCTGACTCGCCCACATTCTCCTCCCACCTTACTGTTTTTTATTTTATATACAGACATTATATATAAGTATTTATATGTTTTGTTCACCATAACTGTACATCTAAGCTTGTATGGTGAGTAAAGGCACAAAGACATAGCTACTCACACAGTCAGCTGGTGGCTGCCGCCCTCAAGGCCAGGCACACTAATATTTCTCCTCCAACAAAACTGTTTGTGGTGTTATTACGCTATATATACACATTATATATAAGTATATACCTGTTTTATTCACCATACTTGTACAAGTAAACTGGTATGGTGCCCAAAGACCATAGTGGTCACCAGTAAACAACATAAGTCGTGCAGATGACGCACCTCCCTCACCAAAATGGTGGCTCCCAACCTACTCCTCTTGCTGTTTATACCCTCTATACACACGTTATATATAAGTATCTACATTTGTGTTCACCATAGCAAATCACTAAGCTGGTATGGTGAGTGCAGTCAATAAAAGGTGGCCACACAGTCAGAAGATAGCACCACTACCCTCCCTCCCACAGCATTTCTCCTCCCTCCATGGAGCACAGCGCTAAATATCACCGCAATCCTGCTATTATCAGAACCCTGGTCAGTTTTATCACAGTCAGGGGTCTTCTGTAATAATATCATCGCTACATAATAGCATGAACAAGTATATTATGGCATTTTTAGGCGATGCTGTGGTCACAAGCTGAACAGCAGTGCTGTGAGCTCATGCTGCGTGCGTCAGGCTTGGTAGCTCACTCAATACTGAGGCCCCTAACACGCGGGAATTTGGCCCACGATTTTTTTTTAAGATGGCGTCTGTTTACAAGAGCCCTGAGGGTGTGGTGAACCCCGTGTATCCGCGGGCCGTTTAAATCTTGCGTAGTACTCCAAAGCATCATATAATGCGATACGCAATTTAAGGGTTAAACGATTTGGCGGGTCATATTCCAAGGAAACTTAAGATTAAGGACCTGCCCAAAACACTAATGCATGTTAGTAGCTTTACAATAATGTAAGAACTCTTGCATATATAAATAAATAAAAAGTTACCATTTGCCCAACAACAAAATTCCAAAATGCCCAACAGAAAAATTCCTAAACTGCCAACAAAAAATTCTGCCTTTTTATTGTTATAAAATGTACATTGAAACACATGTCTCTTTCCTTCAACATTTAGATCTAAAAAAAAAAACTTTAATTTATAAAGTTATACTGACCTGTATGCAACTTTGTTACCAAATATCTGATTTCATATGTGTAATGGGAATACTGTATATCTTAAGTTTTCCACTACCATGCCACTACCTCCTACAATAACAGTAAAAATTGGCCCTATTTTACATTCCCTTAGATGTCCAGTTCTGAAGACATTTAATTCACCTAGACTAATCTCTGTATGAAAATGACTTTAACTTCCTTAATTGTTTTTATTTTTACAGGTAACCTTAGGTCGTGTGCTAAGAGCAGTTGTGACTTTCAAAGGCATTCTTATCGAGTGGGTTGTCGTCAGAGCATTTAATGAACCTTTACTTGATGATGATGGTAAGGTAGGTGTGTCAACGTACATTACATTGTTTTCTGGTTCTTGAAAGATGAGTGAAGATAAAGTTTTAACAATTGGTATACTGTATAATAAAATCCCAATCATCAAAATATTCTGGCCTCAACAAGAAAGGTGGTTAATACTTTTATGGAGAGCTTGTAAAAGTCTTGACTGCCTGAATCCACTCAATAACACATTCAAGTTATTGGTACCGCTTAAAAAATTTTAAACCTGTATTTTCTATGGGTTTAAATAAGAGATGCATAATAATTTATACTTGGGAAATATTAAGAGGGACTGGTTCTAAATCTGCACATTGAAATAACTCCACATGAAAGTAGGAGGCATGGCAGGATGTGCAAAATAGTGCCATTAAAAAGGAGAGGTGCAATTGACATGCTGAAAGAGAATAAATATCATATTCTTTAAATCTTTCACATGCAACTTCCAGCAGTACAAAATCCATCTTGTTTATAACCACCTAGTTTGTTATTTTTCGTACATCTCGCTATTCTGCCATAAACTTTACTTGCTACACCGCCCCTCTCTGTTCAGCTCGTTGTTGCCGTGAGAGGGGCTTGGTGGGCGGCTGCCGGAGTGTGATGCTCCTTGGGACAGTCCCCTGTCCTTTTGTAGCCTTGTGCTCCTGCTGCTGTCCTCTCTAATTGTGCTGGACGACTTTTCCTTTTCCTTCTGTTTCGTTTTTCTCCCCCCCCCCCTCTTCTCTTATCTGCTTGTCGTTTCCTGCCGACCTTTTGCTTGTTTTGGACTTCTTCTATTTTGACGCCCGGGTGCTTGAGGAGGCATACTCTTGCACACGTAGAACTGTAGTACCCGACGTCGAGAGCAAGGGGAACCTTTTGTTGTCTATCCTCCTTTCGTCACTGAACCCAATCTCGACGGACTGACGGTTCTTAAGGTGGCGTTTGTGGGGCGTATACTCACGACGCACCCCAAGGAGGCCCCGGCGTCATCAGCGATAGCTTCTTGTTGGGTGTCTTGCCTCTAATTGTGGCTCCATGGTGGGTGTGGGGGCACATTCGTAAATGAATGTTTCTTTTTCTGTACTTATGTCGATTTCTGTTCCTCCTGTACCTTCTCAGGCTCGTGGGGTGGGCGACCAAGCCCCCGAGTCGGTCCATGTTGGAAGACCGGGCTCTGTAGCTTCCGCTGCATTGGGCTCCGACCTTGCTCCTTTGGCCTTTCTGACTACTCCCCTCGGCTCCCCTCCCTCCTCTGTGGTTGGGTCTTGCTCCAAGCCCCCAGTGGTGACTACCTCGTCCCCTGGCATGGTTCACTCTAGTTGTGACTACTGCGCCTTTTAACCCCTCTCTGGGGGGTTCTCAACGCCATCTTCGACACGGCCGCACTCGCTCGATTCCTTCCCGTTCTGATGCCTATCAAGCCTTGTTTGGTCCCGCTTCATGGGCCAAATACTTTGATCTCCTCCCTCTTGATTCTGCGCCTCCTGATGATTTCTCCCTTCTTAGGCACCTTGTTGATTCCATAGATACCTCTGTCACCTTCAACCCCACCCATCTCGGTACATGTGTCGTTGCTGCTCCTTCTCAGGATGCAGCCTCCCGCTTGGCTGTTTTATCCTGCCTTGGCAAGACCCCTGTTCGGGTCTCCAAGAACGATCGGTTGAATGCCATTGTTGGCAATATTCTCCTTCTGCCCCATGTTGCAACCTGTGTTCGGAATCTGCAGGACTGCCACGATGATATTCAGCATATCCTTGAGGCCCAGGACCATTGTCCTCCAGGTAGACACGTTTACTCGTCCCCCTCGTGGTCGTCGCCGTCAGCTCCTTCGGGTTGTGAAGATTACTTTTGATGGTAGGACCCTTCCACCCTCTGTCATTCTTGCTGGTGCCAGGTGCTCTGTCCAGAAGTACATTCCCTCTCCTCGGCTCTGTAATAAGTGCTGGAGGTTTGGGCATGGTGCCCCCCGCTGCTCTGGAACTGTCTGTGTCCTTTGTGTGGGAGCGAAGGTCACAGGCGAAGGTTAAGTCAGAGTGCACTTCTTCCCAGGCTTGCTGCCTCAATTGTGGTGAGGCACACCCTACCTTCTCTCGTGCGTGTATACATTACAAGTTTGCGACAGCCGTCACCAACTTGAAGCACCGGGAGCATTTATCTTTTCCTGAGGCGAGGCGCCAGGTTCGCCGGCTCCCGCCTTATGCTAACATCTTTTATGCTCGCGTGTTGCGCTCTTCCTCTCCTCGTCCTTCCCACCTTCCTCAGACTCACAACCGTTTCCGGGCCTTGGATCCTAATACGCCCACTGCCCCCTCCTCTGTTCCTTTGAGTTCTGTCCCGAAGGGTCCCCATCCTGGTCCTCTGTCTGGGTTCCCCTTCTTTCTGCCCGGTCTGTTATGTCTTCTTTCTCGTCTCCCAATCCTCCTTCCCATCCTTCTCCTCCGTCTATTGGCTCTCCCTGCCACCTGTCAGTGTGGGTTGATGTCCATCGCTCTCCCAACACCGTCGTGTGTCCTCTCATTCAGCTTCTCCTGTTGAGATGCTGGAATCCGTTGCCCAGTATGTAGTTGCTGGGATCCGTCTCTTTAAGTCAGAAGCGTAAGCCTGGCTCCTCTCCTTCCTCCTCCCCTGCGGGTGAGAAGGCTTCGCTTTCTTCCTCGGCTCCTACTTCTGACTCTCTCGTTTCTTCCCCTCCCATTTCGGTGGTTGTGCCCCCTATTCCTGCTGTGGGGGTTTCTTTGGCTCCTGCTTCCCTCTCGGTTGCTGCTCTTGCTGAGGTGCGCTCCCCTCTTTCTACTCCTTCTCTTCCTGCTGCTGTCCTTGACTGCTCCTCTCGGTTGTCTCCTCCTCTTCCTCCTCCTCCGGATCCCGCCTGTCCACCTCTGGTCTGTTCTCCCGCTTCCTTCTCTCCGTCTTTGCTCAGTTTACCTATGCCCCCTAACCCTGACTTTGCTGACCCTGATCCCGACCCTGATCTTCTTTAACGTGCTATGTTCCTCTTTCGCCTTTGTTTCTTCCTTGTTCTGTTGTCTCTCTTCTCGTTGTTCTCTTCTCATCGATGTCTATTCTTCAGTGGAACGTTCGGGGGTCATTACGCCAATTTCCTTGAACTCCAACTTCTGATTTCACGGTTTTCGCCCCTTTGTGTCTGTCTCCAGGAGCCGATGCTTGGTGCTCGTCCTGGTCGCTTTCGTGGCTATTCCCTTTCTCTCCCCCCCCCCTTCCCCAGCTGTTGCTGGGGCTCCTAACTCTTCTGCTCTCTTGGTTCGTTCTGATGTTCCCTTTGTCCCCTTACTTTTTCCTTCGCCTCTCCATTGTTCTGCTGCTCGTATCTTTGTGGGGAAATGGTACACTGTTTGTTCCATTTATCTCCCCCCGAGTGTCCCGCTTTCTCTTCCCGATCTGAAACACCTACTGGACTCCTTGCTGGAGCCTGTGCTCCTGCTGGGTGATTTCAATTGTCGTCATTCCCTTTGGGGTGATGTTCTGAAGAACACCCGAGGTCGCCTTTTGAGCCGTTTATCCTCTCTTCTTCCCTGTCTCTTCTGAATTCTGGTGAGCCCACGCATTTGGACTCTCGGACTCGCACCCTTTCCTGTCTTGATCTTTCTTTGCTCATCTTCTCTTTACTTAGATTTCACGTGGCAGGTTCTTGATGACCTCCATGGCAGTGACCATTTCCCCATCCTTGTTACCTTTTTCTCTTTTCACCCTCCCCTCTCCTTCCCTAGGTGGCAGTTTGCTAAGGTGGACTGGAACCTATTTACCCTCAGTGCTGCTCTCTGACCTCTTCCTTCTGCCTCTCCTTCGCTCTCTCCTCCTTTTTCATGACACTGTCTTCGACGCTGCCCTCCGCTCTATTTCTCGATCTTCCTCTCGGGGTCCACGGAAGTGCATTCCCTGGTGGAATGCAGACTGTGCTCGGGCTGTCCGCTGTTGCAGGATGCTACCGAACTGGGTTCCCACTTTTCTTCTGTTAGCTCTGGTCTTTATCTTCCCCAATCTTTCCTTCTTCGTAAACCTGTCCTTGAATCTCGTCCTTTAGATTTCTGCACTCGTCTTCGACTTCCCTATAATGATCCCTTCTCTCTCTCTGAACTTCGTTCTGTCCTGGCCCTCTGCAGCGGCTTCGATGGCATTCATTATGAGATGCTTCGCCATCTCCCTCCGTGCACGTCTCAGTATTTTTCTGAATCTGTATAATCGGATCTGGGAGTTGTCGTCAGTCCCTGAGGACTGGCTCGATGCTGTTGTCCTCCCTGTTCACAAACCAGGGTCTCTGGGAACATCCCCTAAGGAATTTCACCCTATTGCCTTCACAAGTTGTCTGCAAACTCTTTGAACGTATGGTCAACGTTCGTCTGATGTGGTTCCTGGAACACCATCACCACCTTTCCCCTTCTCAATTTGGTTTCCGCAAGTGCCGTAGCACAACAGATGTCCTGGTGAACTTGGAGGTCTATATTCATACTGCTTTTGCTGCGAAGACCTCTGTTGTTACCGTCCTTTTTGACCTGGAAAAGGCTTAAGACACCATTTGGCGTTATCATATTCTATCCAGCTTCATTCTTTTGGCCTTTGTGGTCATCTCCCTCTTTCTCCGCAGCTTCCTCTCGTCGTTCCTTTCGGGTGAGGCTTGGTACCGCTCTCTCTGCCTCTTTTCAGCAATACGAAGGTGTGCCCCAGGGTAGTGTTCTGAGCACTACTCTTTTTCTGGTTGCCCTCAATGGTCTTCTTTCCTCTCTTCCTTCAGGTGTCTTCTCCGCTCTCTATGTCGATGATCTTACCCTTTGCTGTCAGGGTGATTCGCCTCTCCTTCAACGCCGGCTTCAACTTGCGATTGATGCCGTGTCATCTTGAGCCACCGATCATGGCTTAAAATTCTCTACTACTAAGACTTGTGCCATGACTTTTACTCGGAAATGGGTCGTTCTTCGTCCCTCTGTCACTTTATGGTCATCCCCTTGAGTACAAAGATTCTGCGAAGCTTTTGGGGTTATTCCTTGGCACTCATTTGTCTTGGTCTCCCCATATCTCTTACCTCCGTGTTGAGTGCTCTAAGGCCCTTACCCTCCTTCGGGTATTGTCCCATACTTCTTGGGGAGCAGATAGGCGCACTCTCCTCACTTTATGTTCCTCTCTCGTCCTGTCTAAGCTCGATTATGGTTGCCCTGCTTACTCGTCTGCTTCTCCTCCTACTCTTTGCCATCTTGATGCTTTGCACCATACTGCGTTGCGCCTCAGTTCTGGTGCCTTTCGTTCGACTCCCGTCCTCAGCTTGTATGTTGACACTGGCTTCTTATCTCTCCAGGACCGCCGTGATTGCTACTGTCTTCGCTATCTTGCGCAGTCCTTGCAACATCCTTCCTCTCGCCTCTGTCGTACTTTAATATTTACCCCTCCTGCGGATCTTGTTCCTCTTCACCACCACCCTCTTTCTGTCCAGTTATCTCGCTTACAGGATTCTCTTTCCGTTCGTATTTCTAATATTTCTCCTCGTATTGTTCCTTCTTTTCCCCCGTGGAGAGTCACCCTTCCGCAGTTTTATACATCCTTGACCCACATCACTAAAGCTTTTATCCCTCCTACGGTTCTAAAACGCTTTTTTCTTGAGCACTTTTCTTCTCACTCCCGCTCCGTTTCTGTCTTCACCGATGGGTCTAAGTCTGCGGACAGTGTTGGCTACTCTGTTGTTTTTCCTGATTGCACTTATGTGTCGCTTACCTCCAGAGACTAGCATCTTCACAGCAGAGCTTTATGCTATTCTCTATGCTCTTCGTCTCCTGCTTTCTCGTTGTCAATCTTCCTTTGTAGTTGTTGTTGACTCTCGTAGTGCCCTCATGGCTCTCGGGTCCTTTAATCCGGTTCATCTAGTGGTTGTCGAGATCCAGCATTGGCTGTTTCTTGTTCACAGTAAATTTAAGTCGGTTGAGTTTTGTTGGGTTCCCAGCCATATTGGGGTGTCTTTAAATGAGCGTGCGGATGCTGCCGTCAGGGAACCTGTCCGCTCTTATCCCATATCTCGTAAAGGTATTCCTTATTCCGACTTTTACCCGGTAATTGATTCCTCCATCCTTACCCGTTGGCAGGCTTGTTGGTCGTCTGTTACTAGTAACAAACTACGTACTCTTAAAAGTTGTGTGTCCTCGTGGCCGTCCTCCTACCACCGTAACCGGCGATGGGAAATGGTTCTGGCGAGGTTGCATATTGGCCATACTCGCTTAACTCATGGTCACTTGATGGAGCGCCGCCCTGCTCCTTATTGTCCTAATTGCATTGTCCCTCTTAAGATTGTGCATATCCTTGTTGAATGTCCTGACTTCCGGGACGAGCATGCGTTTTGTTTTCCGACCGTCCCCCGCGGTCGCTTGTGTCTCAATCATGTTCTTGGTGACTCGGATACTTTTAATATCATGGTCTCCTTATGCATTTCTGTTCTCGTATTGGCATGCTTGGTGATATTTAGAGCCCTCTGATTATCCCACACATTTGATGGTGCTACATAGCCTTCCCAGTTTGGTGCCTTCTTTTGATAGTTACTTACTTTACTTGCTACATTTAGTAGGTTACCATATTTGCACAAGTATAAGCCACAGCTTTTCAAAATAAATCTGGCTTGTGAAGGGTTTATCCAATATGAAAATTAGTCTTATTTGGATTTACAGTATTGTATATAGAGTATTATAAAGAGTTCTAGATTTTGGAGATTACAAATTTTATGATTATGATGGATTTTTAATGTAGATGTTTGTGTACTGTTACAACTTGCAAGAAGTACTATACCTGGTCTTATGAAGCAGTGGAGTATACACTACATATTTTTCTGGGGTTTGTTGGTGCTGGATCTTTATGATGCAATTTAGTTTTGTAATTTACATAACCTTCTTTCACCGCAATATATTGTCTCTGTTTCTCACCACATGAAATTGGGAAATGTAATAATGTATGTACTGTACATAAAAAAAAATATATATATATAATTTAATATTCCATTTAATCTTCATAATAACAATTGCTGTAAATTTTTTGTCCCTGAGTAGTGTTATTTTCTAACCATTTATGCCATAAAAGTATAGAAAGTTGATATTATTCTCCTCGAACTTCGTTTTGACCTTTGCCTAAGACAGCTTATGTTAGATGTTTTGAAGGTACAGTACCTGAATGCTGCCGACTCCTTATTCAGAGTTATGGCAATTTGTTGCAGCTCTAAATAAGGAGTCAATAGCCTTCAAGTAACCTTCAAGACATCTTCCCTAAGCTGTCTTAAGCAAAGGTTAAAATGAAGTTTGAGGGGAATAATATTAATTTTCAATACTGTACAGTACTTTGAAAACATAAGCCATTTGAAAATAACACTTATTACTTGGGAACAAAAATTGTTACATAGCTTAGAAAATTCTGTAAATTATTGTACAGTACTTAAATTGTGTTGCAATTTTGAGTAAACTGTTTTTGTTATTCTCCTTAGGTTGACCTCTACACTCCATCCCAGTACAAAGTGTTTCAAAAGGTGACGGACAACGCGAACGCTGCTATGTTGAATTTCTGTTCACCAGGATTTTCCGACTTAGCTGTCCGCTCCTTCTTTGTAAGTACAGTACTGTACTGTGCAACTCCCATAATCCAACCCTTTTTAAGTACAGTATACAGTGTTCCTAATTTGGTGTTTATTGTGAAATAGGTCTAACATAAGGGACCTTGCCTGATTGACTGCAATACAAAATCTCTAGTTTGTTGTAATACATAATTGCATTTATTGAAATTGAAATAAGTTTATTGATGTAAAATACACACAAAGGGATGAGGTAGCTCAAGCTATTCTCACCCCGTTCAGTACATCGTGTTAATACATATATAGACACATATCACTAACAATAAACATTACCAAACATTCTGAGAGATAAACATATACATTTCCTCCTTCACATGTAGTATGGTATCAGACATACACATAAATACTTTTATGACCTAGGTATACTGTATAGACAATTTGCAAGAGACATGCAGATAATTCAACATAATATTAGTCTTGGTGCAAAATTCTTATATCTCTCAAGAATATCATCAACCTTTCCATTGTGACACATCCAGGCTATTTGTTCAGGAACAGTCCTTATCTCAGTGTTTCTATATACATTAATCAACGGACAATCAAGAACATAATGGGCAAGGGTGTGAGACCTTAACATACCACATAGTTTACACTTCGTGTCATTATCATGAACACCTATCCCATATTCCCAGTAATATGTTAATTGCATTTATTGTACAGTACATTGGTTTCAGAGATACTGTAATATTATACTAATTCAGTACATGGAAGTATCATGCTTATTACTATGCAAGTGAATAGTATGATTATAATGAACAATTTGCAAATGTTGAATTTGGCAGAGTAGCTCAGTGTACTTTATGTGGTTTATAATTTTGTTTGTCTCCCCTTTTCAGACGTGGCTCCATAGCTTTGTCACACTCTTCACTGATGTTTGCAAGAGATGCAATAATCATCTTCATAACCACATGCCCCCAACGTGGAGAGAGTTTCGAACACTAGATCCTTTTCACGAAGAATGTAAAGCATAAGAATACAATAATGTGTCAATTCTCTCTCCCTCAGGATATTGTGTAAACATTTTTTATATGAATTGTGTGTATAATAAGAGTAAGTACTTCAATGTTAAAATAAAATTTATTACATAGTGAATGTATTTTCTGTAAATGCACATGATTATTATTGGCTGAGCAGCAATATTTCATGAACATTTAACTAAAGAAAAAGACCTTGTAGTAACTGTAAAAGATGCTTTACCACCACATTAACACAGTTCTGAAACCTATGCAATGTTGACCAATTTTAATTCTATCTTCAGGTACATGACTGAGATAAGCTATAAAAAGTTATTTATACTGTATAACATTTGTGAGACTCAGTCTCATAATACTAAGTGTTATAGCTCTGAATGTGCCAACTTGATAATATTTATCAATCGAAAACAACACAATTTTTCTTCACCATGGGAGATCACCTCATTCCAAATTTCAATCTCTTCTTTTCTACTCGAAATGATTAAAACTCAGAACATGTTATGAGTGGAAGCATAGCACTGCACAATGCCTTAAGTCATACTGATGCTACTTACAGAGCACTTTCTCCAAACCATTTTAACATACTGTAGTCCCCTGCACCACCCGACTGGTACTGTCGGAAATACTGTACAGTTGGCCTCCACTCTTCAGTTAATTATTTTCCATACTCCTTGCTCTCAAATAAGTAAATGTATACAGAGTGGATAGATAAATGTTAAGTATCATTCTTGATTGCATTCAACTCTTCAAGAAATAACTAGCATGTTTGTCTAAAGCAAGGCACAGGTTTAATAAAATCAATGATGGAATCAGTTTGTGTCCTATGATTCCTATCCCATATTGATTTTCAAAGGCATTATAGAACAAAGCATATCATCTTAAAGAGGGAAGTGATTATAACTTGAGTTCCAATGAGTAGCCTTGGCCGGTAATATACACATTACTCTAATCAAATTCAACAGACCTGAGACAGTATAGTTTATACTAGCTGTTCATTTTATCATATTACAATGCAAGAAAAGCTACTTATCTGTATTCATTCAATAAAGTCATCCGACTTCTAGACATTAGATTTTGGCTCGGCTACAAATACCTTTGGGAGTTTGCACCATTTGATGTAGATCTGACCACATGCCAACTTTTTCAGTAAAACTATTCACATACCATATCTTACATCACTAGGTAACTGAATGTGGACAAAAGTACAAGTGTTTGGAGACAACTCATTTATCACTACTGTTAAAGAAATGCTCATTCATTTTATCTTGGATGACATATTACCCAAAATCCAAGTGAGATATTGCAAGTTTGCCAACTACAGAGAGTGCACACACTAAGTTTGTGCTGCCTACCAGTCTTTTCCTTGCTGATCACATGAGCATATACTGCAGTGTTAGCTACGGTGATGTACAGCAATTACATCACTACCCTTGTAACACTGTCACAATTTTGAGACCAATACACATTTTAATGTGCTGTTCACCACAAATGTTTAGCTCATAGAATGTTGGGGTTTAGTTCCTGATCCTGTTATACACAGTACTAGAGACATGTGCATATAAGAGAAACTTTCCTGCACTGTCTGTGTTGGTAGCATTGGCTACACATACTAAACTAGCCAAAAGTATTAACAGACTGTTGATATATATGTTAACCAACTGTAACTTGCTTAGCTAAACAAATATTTTGGTTCAATTCCTGAGAAATGATGTACCCCTATTATCTTTTCTACTAGCGCTCACAGGATAGGGGTACATCATTTCTCAGGAACCAGCAACTTATAGGATAGGTATGGTCCCTTAAAGATAGGCTGTGTTCATGTGGTCACCCATTCAGTGCTTAACCAGTTTGATCAGTCAATGCTCATAACCTCCACATTCTTTCAGACACATGGATATGAAAATCATAATCAGAATAAAGTCGCTGTCAGTACTAGATTAGGTTATAAGTTAAGAGATTAAAAGCTAACCAGTCAAAACTTGATGGCAGATCTCAGATTTCAGAATGTAGACATATGCCATCATGGTTCCATGTAGTGTGTTTTGCTTACTTATTATTACAAAATACCAAGTAAGCACTGCTCTGTAATACATAAAGCTATTCAGCCATCTCAAATAGGCAAAGTATAAGGTAATTATTAGAAGTAAGTGCTAAGCCAGCATACACATACACTTGGAAGGGCCATATGATGATCCAACCACTTGGGCCATCAAGGATGACATGCGCACCTTGCCAATAACCTAGGCAGTCATTGCTCTGATCAGTCCAAGTCAATGTACTCTTGATGACCAGACCACACACTAGAATGTGATGTACTCTTCATGTTATACTGTTACCCCCAGCTCACCAACCCGTTCTCGCACTTTCTCACAGCTCAGTGCTCAGTGAGTCAAGTCATACCTTTACCACTTCATGGTGCTCCATGGTGCACACAATGGAAGCAACATACATACTTGGCACTGAACAACTTAACCAGTTGCAGTATCTGATCCAAGGCCTAAATCCCAGAAACATAACCAAACCAGTCAAAATCACTACACAAGGTGGTTGATATACTGTACATATACAGGTACTGTATATATATATATTGGTATTACAGTATATCAGATGAAGGAAAATGCTAGACAATGAATAAACCATTTATTTAATGTTGAGTAGCCTGAATAATACAAATTTATAAAGTATCACAATAAAACTACTTAATACATAGCAACTTGGTTCATAATATAATATCAAGTATTTTATTTGGATATTTTAATTACTGTATTCTCAAAATTTACAGAAAAGTAAATAAAATATGAAATCCTAACTAATAATAGGTTTATTACAATTGTTATATGGTACACCATAATATTGGATTATGAGAAAATTTAAGGTTATACAATTACAAATGAGCTATTGTCCTCTAACTTTACTTGCTTGCCGATTACTGTGTGCTCTTCTTCACCCAACTCCCTCCCTCCCTCCCTCTCCTCATCTCCACTTTTTCCCTCTGTCTTTACACATTACCCTTCGTCCTACACCCTGTTCACTTTCCCATCACTCAGCTACCCTTGTCATTCCCTCTCCTCACCCTACACTCTTGCCCTTGGTCTCGGTGACAGCGTAGAAGCAGAAAACAACCCCGATAATGCTAGTGGCGCCATAGAACCAGTAGAGGCCCGCTTGAGTGAAAGCAGCCTGCATGGGACTGTAGAGCTGCAGGGTCATGAAGATAATGGCTGTCCCTGCCGAGATGCACACCGATGACGCCTGTAAAAGGGCATTTGTAGTAAGTATTTCGTCAGTAGCACGGTGCATTGCCTGATGTTTGCATCACTGAGTCAGATTCAACCTATCCTCCAGCCCACGCAATAAGCCAGATACTGTCAGTTTTTACTAAGTGCAGTTTTGACTTATTCAGCAGAAAACCAACTGATAGGATGAATCTTCCATACAGTATAACAGCAAACATCTTTTTTGAGTTGTATATCAATATTATTGTACATTGTGGGTTTAGATAGTTAGATACAGGTAAGGTGTATTGGTTATGTTGATCGAAGGAGGCTGAAAGTGAATGAAGTACATTTAAAATCATAGCCTAGAACATGGCTAGGTGGACCATAAGTTCAAATTCTGGCTTGTGTAGTGTTATTGTAGTCAATTCTAGACTTGTACATGGGTGAATTTCACAGCTCTGTTTTCACTATGGTGCTAGTCAGATTAGGCACTATAAGGTCTGGTCTACCGGGAGTTAAGGGTTGGTGGTTTGTTACAGTAATGATTGATGATGAATTACTACCTCAACCACAGACAGGTGGTTGAGGTAGTAATGGTTGGTGGGTGAGTGTTAGCTGTGATGTTGGAGATAGTTTGGTGTGTGTGTTAAGTGTGAATGATGGTTGGTAGTGTTTACCTATCAGTGACTAAGGAGGAGTGAGATCCAGCACTTTATGCCCCCACCCCCACCTACCCATTTATACCTGGTGCACTAATTCTCTTCCTCAACATTAATGTTTTCATAATATTTTTTTTCTTAAAGTTATGGATGGAATTGACTTTAACACTCTCTTTCTTCAGTGCATTCCACTTGCCAACACCCATATGAGGAACAAGGACTTCATGCATCTCTCTGACTCAATTGTGAATTCAGGTTCTACCTGTGTCCTACCTCTCTTTTAATTTAAGTAGACTTCCTTTGTCCAATTGATCTATTCCTCACAAGATCTTGTATATAGTTATATCACCCCTCTTCTCAACCCCTAAGGTTATGAGGGTAAGTTCCCTCAACCTGTCCTCATAGCTGAGTCCTCTCAATTATGGTACTAATCCAGTTGCAAACCTCTGAACTTTCTCAATTTTCTTTTTGTGCTTCACAAAGTGTAGGTTCCATGCTGGTACTGTATACTTAAATAATGGTTTCATATAGGCAGAGTGTATGGACTTGAAAGCCTCCTTATTTATATTCTTAAATGATGTTTTTTATGTTTGCAAACTTCCCATATGCTGCTGATGTTATCCTATTCATACAAGCTTCTGGTGGTAGTGTTGAGATTATGCCTACTCCCAGGTCATTTCTCTTATTTGTTCTTGTAATTGCCTTACCCTTATGGTGTAGTTAAATAGCTCCCTATTTCCCTTACCCATTTCATTACTTTACACATACAGTATTTGGATTGAATTCCAGCAGCCATTTAAATGCCCACTTTTGAAGTTTGTCAAGGTCTCCTTGCAACACATTACAGTCCTCTTCACTTCTTATTCTCATTAATTTTGCATATCTGCAAACGTTGATATGTATGAGCTCACTCCCTCTGCAAGGTCATTTACATAAATTAAAAAGAGCAATAATCCTAGGACAAAGAGTCCTGTGGAACACCACTTTCCACTCCCCTCCAATCCTGACATAACCTCTCTGATTATGACTCTGTTTCCTGTCTGTCAGGTATTCCTGTACCCAGTCCAGTAATTTTCCTATTATCCCTGCTTGTCTCTCCATCTTTCTCTTGTTGGTACCTTGGTATGCTGCCCAAAGAAGTATTAGTCTGTAGTGTCCACAGATTTTGTTATCCATGTTTTGTCTCCAATATGGGCTGTGGGGAATCATTTGTTGACCATTCTATTTCCCTGTGGTTAAAATCCCCAACTATTAAGATCTTTGCTATGGCTCTCCTTGCCACTGTGGCTGTCTTTTTATGTTATTTTCAGGTATGTTTCATTGTATTTATCGTATTCTGCCTTTGACCTTCCGGTAGCTAATGGGTGGGGGAGGAGGTTGTAATTATCACCTAACACCATCTTCATGGTCCTCACCTCTCTGTTATCATAAATCGTATGAAGTCCTGCTGGTTGGTTACATCCGGAATCACTATCTCCTCAAAGTGCCATTATTGTAAAAGTAGGACTTCTCCTACTCTCACCCACCCCTGTTATCTTTTCTTTACTACCTTGTATCCTCTTGTGAATATTGCATCCTCTGTGAAATTTGTCAGTTTTGTCTCCGTGGCTGTCATATGAGGCTGCAGTTCTGCCACCCATTCTTGCAATTTTACTCATTTATTTGTAATGCCTTTTGCATTTGTGTACCAAACATTTATACCAGTATTACACATTTTGCTATGTGGGAGAAACTGGCTGCAGACCGTTCAGCCTCGGGGCAGTCTGTTCAAAGAGGTCTCTCCAAGTTCGGAGTCACTTGCCAAGAAATCGGAGGAAAAGAGACAGAGAAGGAAAGCCGGTAGCCAAAGGGAAGACAGACCAGAATCGGACTTCGTTTGTGCTCAGTGTGGGATGGACTGCGACTCTCGGATTGGCCTCATCAGTCACACCAGACGCTGCACCAGGATTGACGACCAGGGCGCAACTCCATAGTCTCCCGAGACTGAAGGATGCTTACTAGATTACTCATTTCTACTGGGCTGCTTAATATCTTTCCCGAGGGTAGCTTCTCCTTTAGACAACTCCCATTCTAGACAACTCCCATTCTAGAAGGGTAGCAACTGTGAGTGTTGGTCTAGTCACACAGACACATTCTCCTGGTCTATTTCCTCGCCAGTCTGATTAGGTCCACTATCTTGCTGTACCCGATTATCCTTTTGCCTTGGTTTCGCATCTTGTTCCTTCCTAACTCCATTTCCTGCCTCTCATACTGGTGTTTGTGTAGCGATAAACTGGGGGCTTATTAAATATTTTTTTCCTCGTTAATGAAGTGGCTGTTGATGGGTTAGCAAGTAGGTGATGGTGATTTGTAGGCAATGGTGTTGGTGGTAATGGCGATTGTGGGTGATATTTTTTTTAGTGATTGTGATTGACGGAAATAGTAATGGTGATTGGAGTAACAGTATGGCCACTGGAAGTTGGGGATGCAAGGGCTCCATGGGTTTGTGGTGGTCATAATAGGAATAATGTTGGTGTTAATGACATATAATGGCATATAACTATATAAAAGCTAGTGAAGAAGTATGAGAATATATTGCCACTACGAATAATACATATTTCCGGACATGTTTGATTTGGGATATGCTTGTATACGATGGAATAATGTTTGAGAAGAAAAAAAAATTGTGGAATCATGTCACAACGCATTAAAAGTTTCTCCAGACGAAGTGGAGGTGGACCCACCTGGGCACGGATGCGAGTGGGGAAGTACTCTGAGGCGACGATGTAAGGAACGGGGTGGACACCGATGTCGCAGATGAAGAGAGCTACCGTCACACACACCGTTGGCACCCACGTGAGCCTGCGAGTCAACAGCAACAACTCAGCACCTACTATTAAGTTCAAGTTTGGATTGAGAACCTAAATATTATTGGATAGCCAGATGAGTAGATTGACTTGCTATGTTATACTAGGCTTCACGTTACACTAGGCTTCACGTTACACTAGGCTTCACGTTACACTAGGCTTCACGTTACACTAGGCTTCACGTTACACTAGGCTTCACGTTACACTAGGCTTCACGTTACACTAGGCTTCACGTTACACTAGGCTTCACGTTACACTAGGCTTCACGTTACACTAGGCTTCACAATTTGAGTACACATATTAAACAAGCAATAGTTTATGTCAAAGGGATTACAGAGAATTTAGCCATTTTTAAAGTAAGATTCTTCAAACAACTTGTCACCTAAATAAGAAATATCATTCATTTCCCTAAATAACCCAGACCGGACTTGAATAATGACCAACCACTTCTCTCTAATTGTTTCTCTCCCTCCCACCTTTAAAAATGATCATACATGCTTACTCCTTATAAGTGGTGTCGTCAGGATCAGCATTATCAGCCAGGTGAGCGTAGGCGCCTAGGATAATCAGGCAGACAGCATTGATGGCGTGACTGATAATTAGCAGGTACCGCCGTCCGACGATGTCCAACAAGAGAATGGCGGCTAGTGTTCCTGCTACTCTGAGAGCCCCAGCGATGGCAGTGATGGCATCGGGATCCATAGGAGCCCCCGTGGCTTCGAGGATCCGCGCCGTGTATATCATGAATACGAAGTTCCCGCACAGCTGCATTAGAAGGAAAAGTACCACAACCACGATTATTGGTCGCAACACGTCCCTCTGTAGTAGGTCGCGCCAGCCTCCTCTCCTGCCGTCGTCGCTGACGGCATTACGACGCTCCAGCTCTGAAACCTCAAGTTCGACATTCGCGTAGTTCCCTCGCAGTTGTTTCAAGATGACGATGGCTTGCTGACGTCGCCCCTGCACCACCAGGAAGGATGGAGACATTGGAAGGACGAAAGTTACCAGGAAGAATAACAAGGGAGGTAGGGCACAGATCATGCTGAGGTAGTGCCAAGGAAGGACATATCCGAAGCAGACGGTGTAGAGTCCGCCCAGCACTACACCCATGGTAGGGATAGTGGCCGCCATACCACGAACGCTCACGTCAGATAGTTCGATCACATAACTGTATCCGGCAATCGTAGTTCCTCCGCAGGCCAAACCAATGATGAATCTGCAAAACTCAAAAGGTAGAGTAGTGAGGAATTTAAGCATCTCGGTATCCAACTAATTTCTTTTGCCCATTTTTATTTTTTTCGTAACTGTTCTGGAGCATTTTGGGGGGTAAAATCTGCTGAATACATTTTTTTAATGTTCGAGACATCTGTAATTAATGAATTGATTTGATACTATATTGATATAATGTTTTTGGTGTGGAACGTTAATAGATATACGAAGACCAATAGAAAGTCATATCTGTCTGCAACATTTAATAACAGTTTGGCACAAAAAAAACTCGGGATTTCACGGTCACAATTTTGCTGCCCCTTTTTAGTCACGCAATATTGTCTGCCTCATAATCTCTCTATCACGCTATTTCTGTCTTCAGCTTGAAGGTTTCTGCAGGTACCTGCCAATAAGTAGGACCGGTGTGCTGGGGGCGAGGGCAACAATGATCCAGCCTCCCAGGTAAGGAACCACGATCGCTTGCATGGAGCGGAGACGTCCGATCTTGGCCACCACCCAGCCAGAAACCCAAGCCCCCACCAACGTCCCCAAGTACAGCAAGCTACCTGTTGGAGACACGGTTCATAATATAGTTGCGCTCTCTTCCTGATAACAACAGCGTTGGCAAGTACAGCAAATTATACCTGCTGTAAAGACATGATTGTAACACAAGTCGTTCTGTCTACAAGATTTCAGCAGCGTCCTCAAGCATAGGCAAGCAATGGCTGGGACACGATTGATAATACGAGTCCGTTGATTGATTGATGAAGATTAAGCCACCCAAGAGGTGGCACGGGCATGAATAGCCCGTAAGTGGTGGCCCTTTCGAGCCATTACCAGTATCAAAAGATGATACTGGAGATCTGTGGAGGCGCAACTGCACCCTGCGTGACGGGAGATGTCTCCCGGACCAAGTGGTGACCAAATGGTGAGTCCGTTCTGCTTTCCTGGTTCAGATATCAACTTCGGCAGCGTTCTTAAATACAGATTACCTGGAGGACTATTATTGTTTTCCTAGCTACTCACACCTCTAGCAACGAGGTAAGGAACACCACATGCTACTAAGATACATATACTTAGTTGTTGATTTTTTATATTGTCGATTTGCTTTTGTTGATTGATAATGTTATCAGTGTAAGGAAGCCTACCGTTGTTGGTCTTACATAAGCAATTATTCCAGTTATTGTTTCCCATCATTTTGTTTATTTCGTTTGTGGCGCCTGACTCACCTGTCATGTCCTTCTCGGCGGAGTTTAAGGAGATCTCGGTGCCAAACAGCGTGCTATTATTTTCGGCCAGATCAGAGAGTGCCGGAGAGGGCCAGGGCAACGCCGCGCCCAAAGAGAAGTAAGAGAAGCTTGCCAATGATACCAGGCCCAGCTGTGAGGGAGAACCAAGGCGTGAGGGAGAATCAAGGAACGAGGGAGAAGTCTTGCTGTTTTCTTACACAATATTTTGAAATTGATTACTTAAATATGGAAGCCTAACATTGAAAGAATTGGAAACTCGATTGCAGATATATTTCACTTTAACACATACACAGAGAACAGAATACAGGAAAATAACAAGTGTGATAACACAGAGAAAACACAGTTACAGAGCACAGAGAGCGTGCTTCCTATCAGCAACAATATTGTGTATTATGTAAACACGCTTCATCGAAGTGTGTGAGTATAATACACACATACATCGAAATGCATTGGTAATACAAGACACAATATGAGTTTCATGGACGCTGCTAGGCGACAGACTAATTAGCAGTGTGGACACGTTAGTCATCCCGTCCTCACCTGTCGAGCCAGCCTTCTTATCCGCTCCGGTCTGGGTTCCTCCGGCCTCTCCTGCGGCTTCTCTCTGACGACGTCCCACTCCTCTGTAATATATAAACTTTGTCTATTCGGGCGAGTGAGAGATAGTGTTGAAGGTGTTGTGTCACATTTAGTGTTTCTTCATGTCCTTCGTGGTGAAGGTCTTAATAAAACTGATATTGCAGACTTTAATCCTTATATGACTACCCTGTCCCATATGAAGGATTACAGTATTTAGATATAATGCTCCCACCCAAATAGCATCACCATATCTATATACTGTATATCTAGACTAGTCTCTCATACAATATAGTGTAACACCTCATTGCTGTGTGTACCTAAGTTTGTTAGTAAAAAATAAATAAAAAGGTGCTTTAGTGAAATTAAAAGCACCATGACAGGCTTTGATTGGTGTGGTGCGTTGCCTAGCTTCATTCACCAGCCTTGATAGACTGTTACAAGCCTGGTGAGACCGCTTGCAAGCCTGGTGAGACCGCTTGCAAGCCTGGTGAGACCGCTTGCAAGCCTGGTGAGACCGCTTGCAAGCCTGGTGAGACCGCTTGCAAGCCTGTAAAGACCGCTTGCAAGCCTGGTGAGACCGTTCCTCCAAACAGGAGGATGAGTTGAAAGTTTTACACTACGATGGGAATTTGTATGCACTTATGTCTACATATTATGTCTACACAGAGTAATGATCAGAGATACAGAGAGTTAGGGCCAAAGAGGAGTCAAGTCTGGTATATATGACTCGATTGTTGAGATGGTGGGAAAGGGAAGAGACGCTCAGGAACAGGATGAGAAAGGGAACATATATTCAGTGAGAGGAGAAAGGCTCAAAGAGAGAATTGGAAGGCGGGAAAGATTCATGTTCATGACAGAAAGGAAGGTAATTCAAGGGGGGAAAGATAGATGCAGAGAGAAGAGAGTATGAAAAGGGGAAGAGATTCAGGGAGATGAGAGAACCCAGGGAGAGGTTGGGAAGGGGAGAGAAGCAGGTGGAGAGGAAATATCCACTTGTCTCACAATTTGTCTGCACTCTGGCCATATTTTTTAATTGTTATTATTAACAAACTTAGGCTACACAGCAGTATTGTACGTGCTGTTTCTCTAGTCTGTATGAGGGATTACAGAGTGTAGTTTTAGAACTTATTTTAGTTTTAGAGTTTTTATATATAATCTCCCCATCTCCTAGAGCGTGAGTCGAGTCTATTAGGCTGCATTACAAAACTCCGGGTAGTTTGTGATCAAAGTACTAGGTCACAAGGTCAAAAAATAAAATAATAAACAGGGTCCGACGTATTTTATTAAATTAATGTGTAGCTGGAAAATACACATTTTATTGGACTAATTGCAAAAGAATTAGAAATGATGGGGCTGCAAATATTACTTGAAGAGATAGTGCGGTTGAGACAAATATTATTTACTTGGAATCACTGTTTTATTTACCATGAAGCACCCGAATCTTAAGACTCCTTGAGCAATTTAATCGTACTGTGTAATGGAAAATATATTCTCAAATACAAATTAGTAATTTTTATATACATTATAATATTGTATTGTTAGGTCTAGCTTGCTTTACATGTCTTAGTTCAGTTTGGCAATTATTTGTATTTGTAATTTACGGGTGAAGCATTTAAAGATCTTCGACTGGAACACAGGTAACGAGCGAAGCAAGGTTCGAGAAAAATTCGAACGTCATCAGCTGTGAGTCGTGCAGAAACGTAAACACTAGACACCTGTGTGACGGCCCCGCTCCTCTGACAATATGCTAAGAATTGGATACATATAATCAACTTTGTCATCATTTGGGATCAGTGTTTGACATGAACATCCATTCCTAAGCATGGTATGAGTGTTTGTTATTGCTTCGTTTTACAAGTAACATGTTAGGGACCTTTAACAAACCGCCGGGCTCCTGCCCCCCCCCCCGCCCCCCGTTGAAGAGAAAAACAAAACCACGGATTTAACAGTGCAGACGATATTCGTGTAGTACATTATCGTGTGAACCAGACTAGCACAAAACAAGAAGCTACGGGCTAGTTTACAATTAGTCACACCGAACAGGTAAATGTTAATATAACATGTGGTGCGATCCAGGCACCCAAGTTCTGTGTATTTGTCTTTTCTTCCCTGTCTGTTCGACCTAGGGAGCCGGTCGGCCGAGCGGACAGCACACTGGACTTGTGATCCTGTGGTCCCGGGTTCGATCCCGGGCGTCGGCGAGAAACAATAGGCAGAGTTTCTTTTACCCTATGCCCCTGTTAACTAGCAGTAAAATAGATACCTGGGTGTTAGTCAGCTGTCACGGGCTGCTTCCTGGGGGTGGAGGCCTGGTCGAGGACCGGGCCGCGGGGACACTAAAGCCCCGAAATCATCTCAAGATAGTAGACCAGCTTTCTGTGTCTGTCTTTCTGTCTCCTCTTTCCTCTGTATATCTGTCATTGTGTCTCTGGGTGTCCATCTTCCTGTCTTTCTCTGCCCGAGTTGACCCGTGCCTAGACACTTTGGAACACTTTGAAAGGTGTGTAGGGGAGTAGAGAAGGAAGGGAGGTGCTTAGGCGACGAGGGAGGCGAGTAGATGACTCAACACAAATTTAAGGTGTCAAAATCTATTTGCTCCTCTAAAATCAAAGCATGATAATATTTTAATTTTTAATTTTGTTGACTCAAGAATTCCGAGTTTGAATCCCGGGTGGGACAGAAACGGTTGGGGGCGTTTCTTATAATCAAATAGCCTAGCAGTAAGTACCCAGGTGTTTGTCTACTTGTAGCGTTGCATCCTGAAGGGGGGGAGGGGAACTTCGATATAAGCCTAACGTGTATATATACACTGGCTGCCTGTCCCTCGACACAATGAATTATTATTATTAAATTAAAATGTCTGTCTGTTCGAGGTTGAAGGCTATGTGCTTGGGAATAGTCTTGCCCAATTTTTCCAAGTAATTTCTGTAGGGTACATACCCAACATGGGTAGGTTGGATTAGGTATAAAAGAAAAGGTTGTCATGTGATACTGTGCTAAACCTAATCCCACTTGAAATATCGCAATATCATAGACTAGACTTATTATTTTTTGTCGTATCATAAAATACATCATGCACTGATCACGCCAAAATTAAAAAAATAATTTGCCTATCAAACTTTGGCCTTAATAGTGCCTACTACCACCCACCAAAAAAAAATGCAACAATCATGTCACCCACTCCACTCCCTCACACCATGCATTTCGCCCCTGTACATTCATCTTTCTCCAACCTTTTCCCAAATAAACATTACCATTAACCCAACCCTCCCATACCAACTACCCTTCCCCAGTGAAAGGAGGAGAGGAGAGAGGGGGAGCTACAGATGAGCTGTTGTAGGATAACAGGTTTTCCTTACAGTTTCACTGGGATTCCTAATGAACCCTAGCCTAAGTTAAAAAAAAAAAGAGGGAGAAAGAGAGAGGAGACAGGACGAGAGAGTTAGTGAGCAAGAGATGATGTGAAAATGAGAGAGCAGGAGAGTGAAGGAAGGAGGGATATGGGGAATAGAGGTGCGAGAGGGGCACCCAGTAGCAAGTATTGTTGAAATTTGGGTATTGACGTAACAGGTAATTACAAAAGTAGACATTGGTACTGTAGAATTTAGACAAACCGGAAAAGGAGTTGTATTTGTTGCAAAGAAAACCTAGACTATCCTTCCTAGGCCTAATAAACGCAATCCGAGTCCTAATATAGTACCTATATGTACTATACCAGGCCTAGGAATATTTAAGTTTTTTTTTAGCTTTATTTTTAAGGACTATAAAGTAAATAGTACCAAATTCTACAATCTAATTTGCCTTTTAGGCCAATGTTTGTTCTATGGTGCACATAGTTACAAAACGTACTATCTAAACACGAGAATGGGTTGCTATATATATATATATATATATATATATATATATATATATATATATATATATATATATATATATATATATATATATATATATTATTAAATATGACCGAAAAAGTAAGATTAATAATTCTAACACGAATTTTCTCAATCTTTCGTACATTATGCTTCACTGTTGGAGGTAAATCAAAAATCACTTCTCCAAAATTCATTTTTATTTCTAGTCTGACGCGACACGGGCGCGTTTCGTAAAACTTATTACATTTTCAAAGACTTCACAAATACACAACTGATTAGAACTTGCGTTTCCCTGATTTTATATCTACATTTGAGTGAGGTGGGAAGGGTGATGTGGCATTACATTTGAGTAAGGTGGGAAGGATGATGTGGCATTAGAGGATATTAATAGGGTATTAAAAGTATCAACACAAGACAGAACACGAAACAATGGATATTGAATAGAAGTGTTTGTAGAAAGCCTATTGGTCCATATTTCTTGATGCTTCTATATTGGAGCGGAGTCTTGAGGTGGGTAGAATATAGTTGTGCAATAATTGGCTGTTGATTGCTGGTGTTGACTTCTTGATGTGTAGTGCCTCGCAAACGTCGAGCCGCCTGCTATCGCTGTATCTATCGATGATTTCTGTGTTGTTTACTAGGATTTCTCTGGCGATGGTTTGGTTATGGGAAGAGATTATATGTTCCTTAATGGAGCCCTGTTGTTTATGCATCGTTAAACGCCTAGAAAGAGATGTTGTTGTCTTGCCTATATACTGGGTTTTTTGGAGCTTACAGTCCCCAAGTGGGCATTTGAAGGCATAGACGACGTTAGTCTCTTTTAAAGCGTTCTGTTTCGTGTCTGGAGAGTTTCTCATGAGTAGGCTGGCCGTTTTTCTGGTTTTATAGTAAATCGTCAGTTGTATCCTCTGATTTTTGTCTGTAGGGATAACGTTTCTATTAACAATATCTTTCAGGACCCTTTCCTCTGTTTTATGAGCTGTGGAAAAGAAGTTCCTGTAAAATAGTCTAATAGGGGGTATAGGTGTTGTGTTAGTTGTCTCTTCGGAGGTTGCATGGCTTTTCACTTTCCTTCTTATGATGTCTTCGATGAAACCATTGGAGAAGCCGTTATTGACTAGAACCTGCCTTACCCTACAGAGTTCTTCGTCGACTTGCTTCCATTCTGAGCTGTGGCTGAGAGCACGGTCGACGTATGCGTTAACAACACTCCTCTTGTACCTGTCAGGGCAGTCGCTGTTGGCATTTAGGCACATTCCTATGTTTGTTTCCTTTGTGTAGACTGCAGTGTGGAAACCTCCGCCCTTTTCCATGACTGTTACATCTAGAAAAGGCAGCTTCCCATCCTTTTCCGTCTCATAAGTGAAACGCAGCACGGAACTCTGCTCAAATGCCTCCTTCAGCTTCTGCAGATGTCTGACATCAGGTACCTGTGTAAAAATGTCGTCAACATACCTGCAATATATGGCCGGTTTCAAGTTCATGTCGACTAAGACTTTTTGCTCGATGGTACCCATGTAGAAGTTTGCAAACAGGACACCTAGGGGAGAACCCATAGCGACCCCATCTACTTGCTTATACATGTGCCCATCCGGGCTCAAGAAGGGTGCCTCTTTAGTACAAGCTTGGAGTAGTTTCCTCAGAATACTTTCTGGCATGTCAAGAGGAGTACAGGCTGGATCACGATACACTCTGTCGGCTATCATTCCGATTGTCTCGTCCACAGGTACGTTGGTAAACAGTAACGAAGGACACTACAGCCGAATTAAAAGCAAAGGTCAACAAACTGATCGAAACTGTGAACGCCAAGAAATCCGGACTCCACCTGCCAAAGATCATTGGGGAATATAAACCTGGATATGCGTATGGAAATGTCAAGACGCACAAGCCTGGAAACCCACTTCGGCCAATCATTAGCCAGATACCCACACCCACGTACAGATTGGCGAAGCGACTCAACGGCCTGCTGACTCCTTATGTTCCTTGCGCCTTCAGCCTGAAGTCTCCAAAGGAATTTGTGGACTTACTGCGGGGCGCACGGGCCACAGGGATAAGAGCCTCGTTGGACGTAGAATCGCTGTTTACCAACGTACCTGTGGACGAGACAATCGGAATGATAGCCGACAGAGTGTATCGTGATCCAGCCTGTACTCCTCTTGACATGCCAGAAAGTATTCTGAGGAAACTACTCCAAGCTTGTACTAAAGAGGCACCCTTCTTGAGCCCGGATGGGCACATGTATAAGCAAGTAGATGGGGTCGCTATGGGTTCTCCCCTAGGTGTCCTGTTTGCAAACTTCTACATGGGTACCATCGAGCAAAAAGTCTTAGTCGACATGAACTTGAAACCGGCCATATATTGCAGGTATGTTGACGACATTTTTACACAGGTACCTGATGTCAGACATCTGCAGAAGCTGAAGGAGGCATTTGAGCAGAGTTCCGTGCTGCGTTTCACTTATGAGACGGAAAAGGATGGGAAGCTGCCTTTTCTAGATGTAACAGTCATGGAAAAGGGCGGAGGTTTCCACACTGCAGTCTACACAAAGGAAACAAACATAGGAATGTGCCTAAATGCCAACAGCGACTGCCCTGACAGGTACAAGAGGAGTGTTGTTAACGCATACGTCGACCGTGCTCTCAGCCACAGCTCAGAATGGAAGCAAGTCGACGAAGAACTCTGTAGGGTAAGGCAGGTTCTAGTCAATAACGGCTTCTCCAATGGTTTCATCGAAGACATCATAAGAAGGAAAGTGAAAAGCCATGCAACCTCCGAAGAGACAACTAACACAACACCTATACCCCCTATTAGACTATTTTACAGGAACTTCTTTTCCACAGCTCATAAAACAGAGGAAAGGGTCCTGAAAGATATTGTTAATAGAAACGTTATCCCTACAGACAAAAATCAGAGGATACAACTGACGATTTACTATAAAACCAGAAAAACGGCCAGCCTACTCATGAGAAACTCTCCAGACACGAAACAGAACGCTTTAAAAGAGACTAACGTCGTCTATGCCTTCAAATGCCCACTTGGGGACTGTAAGCTCCAAAAAACCCAGTATATAGGCAAGACAACAACATCTCTTTCTAGGCGTTTAACGATGCATAAACAACAGGGCTCCATTAAGGAACATATAATCTCTTCCCATAACCAAACCATCGCCAGAGAAATCCTAGTAAACAACACAGAAATCATCGATAGATACAGCGATAGCAGGCGGCTCGACGTTTGCGAGGCACTACACATCAAGAAGTCAACACCAGCAATCAACAGCCAATTATTGCACAACTATATTCTACCCACCTCAAGACTCCGCTCCAATATAGAAGCATCAAGAAATATGGACCAATAGGCTTTCTACAAACACTTCTATTCAATATCCATTGTTTCGTGTTCTGTCTTGTGTTGATACTTTTAATACCCTATTAATATCCTCTAATGCCACATCATCCTTCCCACCTTACTCAAATGTAATGCCACATCACCCTTCCCACCTCACTCAAATGTAGATATAAAATCAGGGAAACGCAAGTTCTAATCAGTTGTGTATTTGTGAAGTCTTTGAAAATGTAATAAGTTTTACGAAACGCGCCCGTGTCGCGTCAGACTAGAAATAAAAATGAATTTTGGAGAAGTGATTTTTGATTTACCTCCAACAGTGAAGCATAATGTACGAAAGATTGAGAAAATTCGTGTTAGAATTATTAATCTTACTTTTTCGGTCATATTTAATAAAATATGTCTACAGGAAAGACTGCTACCAAAATATACTAATATATATATATATATATATATATATATATATATATATATATATATATATATATATATATATATATGTCGTACCTAGTAGCCAGAACTCACTTCTCAGCCTACTATGCAAGGCCCGATTTGCCTAATAAGCCAAGTTTTCATGAAATAATTGTTTTTCGACTACCTAACCTACCTAACCTAACCTAACCTAACTTTTCAGCTTCCTACCCTAACCTAACCTATAAAGATAGGTTAGGTTAGGTTAGGTAGGGTTGGTTAGGTTCGGTCACATATCTACGTTAATTTTAACTCCAATAAAAAAAAAATGACCTCATACATAATGAAATCGGCAGCTTTATCATTTCATAAGAAAAAAATTAGAGAAAATATATTAATTCAGGAAAACTTGGCTTATTAGGCAAATCGGGCCTTGCATAGTAGGCTGAGAAGTGAGTTCTGGCTACTAGGTACGACATATATATATATATATATATATATATATATATATATATATATATATATATATATATATATATATATATATATATATATATATACACACGATGGGATGGACTGAATCATGAAATTGAAAATATGAAAAGATGGCAGTGGAATGATCTGGTGGGAGACATTTCAACTTTGGGGAGATAAAACAAAGAGGATAGAAGGGGAAAAAAATCTGAATGAGGAAGGGCAAAAAATCAGACTGGCATTAAACTGTGTCGGTGATGTTTGTGCATAAGTACGACCAGTTACAGTACCTTTCTCCTGCAGTCCATTGATCTCATACGACTCCGTCATCTTGGCTGTCTAGGGCCAGCGACGACCTATAGCGCAGCTCTGCTTAATTTCCACGACGCGAAATTATACTATAAACGTGTTATAAAATAAGCAAAGAATAATAATAATAATTAGGTGCTATAATTAAAAGCGAATAATTTTCGACATTAGTCTTAGATAAAGATTTTTTTTATTCGGGTAATAAACTTTCTTTAACTCGGATTGGAATATTATTTTTCTTGTAACCAACTTTCTTTCCGTTGTAACTATCCTCTGATACTTGAGCGCCAGCAGAGGCACCACGAGATGATGTTCCTCCAGCTTGGCTAAGCATGGACTGGAGAGGCTATAGAACCTGACTCACGGCTGCTGATACCCCACACATGGCGCTCGCGCGCTCGCATAAATAAGCCTATAGTAGACATAGACGCCGTAGAGTATAAAACCCGAGTCGGGATAAAATGATGACATTATAGTGCCGTATGCACATTATACATAACCAATACAAAACACGACATTTTCTATCTTGTTTGATTAAGATAGACGCGCATGTGACGCTCTCGAGTGATAAACCCCGAGTTCCTCAGCCTTTCCTAAGACTTCCCAACGTCTAGAAACTGTCATACTAAAGTACCCTTATCCTAACCTACCAGAGGTCCCAGAGTTAGTTTTTAGGTTAATTCATTTATTATGCACCCCATACCCATCTTGTGGGCGGTGATGGACAGGGTTACAGAGGCACGTCATAATTCGTAATTTTCATGGCGGTACAAATTTTAGACTCTACGGGTTATTCCCAATTACATGGTTGTTTTGACGTCTTGTGTAATGATGAGGTGCGAGGCGTGGACACGCAGTTATATGGTCACAGTGACTGTACAGTCTATGGAAGGTTGTTTTCGCTTAACAGGAGGGAGACTGTTTATTGAGGCTACGGTACGTAACCCAAACCTTTCTCTGGCAAGTTTAAGTCAGGCTTGTATTGCTTCGTAAGAAAACGTAAAGCTCATTCCCCACTTTTTATAATAATAATAATTCATGGTGTCGGGGGGGTTCCAAGGGGTTGTCATAGCCAGGGGGTGGTAATGGGGGACGAGCTCCCATAACCTATAAAATACTCCTATACAGCGTGCGTCTCAAATAGCCTCTGGACAACCAAGTCCAACTCCTGGTCTGCACGGGTGGCTTAGTCTTTAAGTCCGGCGGAACTGCTTTTACCGACAGAAGGGGCGAGGGCGTGCCTCTGGCGCCTTAAGCTGCTCCGGGTAGATGGGACTCGATAGCCTGGGAAGGCAGCTCTTCTAGGGGAAGGAAAACCCTGATTGTAAACCTCCGCTGCCTTGCGGCCATACTCCTTTTTTGGGAAAGGCTTCAGGAGTCAACCTCCAGGAAAAATCCGGAGTTGGAGCCCCTAAGGCAGTTCGTTGTTGACGTTGACCTCGTTCTGGCAGCTCCTGCGACGTTGCTGGAACAAGGTGTACTGGCATTTGCCTTTCTATTGGATAATTTCAGCAACGTGGAGAAGGGGGACCTGCTGCATGGGTAACTGCTTCTCCATATCTACCTACCCAGGCTTTGTGCCCTGTCAGGGCGCAACTCCATAGTCTTCCGAGACTGAAGGATGCCTACTACTACTGGTGTCCGGGGCAGGAAGCCAGAGAAGCCAACCCCTGTACCTAAAATTGTCCCTTATTAATGTTCATTGTACGCACATTCTTATGAATGAAATATTATTTCTTCACGCTGTTCTTGATAACATTTCGGTTTTGTACACTTCGTCAATGCATTGAATGATCTTAAATGTTTTGATGATGCCGCTTGTTTGCATAGTTGTGTCCAGTGAGGTGAGGTCTGGTTCCATCAGCTCTTACTCATAGCTCAGTCCTATAAGTTCAGGGACCAAACAGTCCTTAATTACGGGCTCACCATAGCCCGTGCTACATGAACACTTTGTTCTGAGTAGCTAAATCTGAAACAACAACAACAGTCCTTGAGGGTCCCAGACACAGCACCGCTCCTGTGCCAGATAAGCTACGGGCTCACCATAGACCGTGCTACTTGGAACTTGTTCCGAGTAGCTGAACCTATAACAACAACAACAACAACAGTTCTTAAGGGGGTTAAGGACTGTTAAGCAACCACCCAAGAGGTGGTGAATTAAACTACCTCTTGGGTGGCTTAATCTTCATCACTCATCAGTCCTTAACCGTCGGCACATCTTCTGTGCCAAGTGAGTACGCCGGGCTCACCATAGCCCGTGCTATTTGGAACATTTTGTTACGAGAAGCTGAATCTCAAACAACAACAACAGTCCTTAACTAAACCTCTAGACATGATCTAGTGTGTGTGTGTAGTTAAATGCGTTTGTGGGTCCCGCCTTCCATCTTTAATCATCTGTCTATAGGTTACCGAACCTGTTTTGTTCTGTCGTTTTTACATTTGAAGCTGTGTATGGAATCCGTATCAATCTCGTCACTTTTGAGCGTATTTCATTTATTCACTACATTGTCACTTTAAATTTGTTTGTCTCTGTGGGGCATACGTGTATACTTAGAATTTCTTCCTCCCCGTCACTAGCTTCCCTGTCAACAAAATAGGCTCGGAGATGCCACTATAGTGGTTCCCATCCTCTTGAAGGGGATCGCAGGCAGGTTACAGATGATTCTGTGGGCTTAATGAAAACCTGTTCCGATTAGCCTGCCTACCTGGCCCCTTGGCCTGTCTTCCTTGCCCCTTGGCCAGTCTCCCTGGCCCCTTGGCCTGTCTCCCTGGCCCCTTGGCCAGTCTCCCTGGCCCCTTGGCCTGTCTCCCTGGCCCCTTGGCTTGTCTCCCTGGCCTCTTGGCCTGTCCTACTGGCCCGTCCCCCCTGGCCCTTTGGCTTGTCTCCGTCGACCTACATACATGCTTGTCCATTTTTGTTCATTCTTGATAGAACCCTCTACCACCTACCTGCATGAACTCCTGCTTGCATTCTCGTCCACTAGATCCCTAATGTCACCTATACTTGTCTAAACCTCTACATATCTACCGGCTGATTTACCCCCTGTACCTTCATGTCTAATTGCCTACCTTCCTTCTTACCCATCTTTCAACTTAACTACCCACATTGCATATATACCTATCTACTTATCTCCCTTCTTACTTATACCTATTTTCTTATCCATTTGCCTAGTTACCTACTACTAAACTTCCTGCTAATGAATGTCGGTCCTGGTGCTGGCTCCGCCAACATGATTTATGTATACCGAGATTCGAATTCTTTGCCGGTCTTAGAGTAGATTGAGAATGGCTGCGGCTATTCTGATTTCAGTGTTCATACCCTTCTTGATCACCTGAACAGGGTACGGGCATTTCCTTACATTTATCATACCCATTATCGTTGAGACAGCAACCCGTCCTCGTTTATAACAAGTCACGCTTTTAACGGACTCTACTAATCCGATAAAAATGCGAACTATTCAAAATTAAAGCACCGTAATATTGAGAGGCTTCCTGTGCACATTGGCCTCGATTGGTTAAGTAGGTTGCTTGGGTTTGTACGGTTCCGCTGCTATATCATAGAGCCTCGCATGATTATTTTCTTATGTTCTCTCTCTCTCTCTCTCTCTCTCTCTCTCTCTCTCTCTCTCTCTCTCTCTCTCTCTCTCTCTCTCTCTCTCTCTCTCTCTCTCTCTCTCTCTATATATATATATATATATATATATATATATATATATATATATATATATATATATATATATATATATATATATATAGATGATAACGTCTTTATTAACAAATTTATTGATGTCCTAATATTTAAAAATTGCAAATTCTGTGGCTTTATAAGATTTTATAATCCAATTTATTATAAATTCCATCATCTATATATATATGCTCTGAACTACATTATTTATATAAATGTCGAGGTTAAGGAAGGATTAAGGGGGAGAAGAGGAAGCCGAGAGATGTTACCATAGAAACAGACGCCGCCCCCCCCCCCCGCCCCTCCCATCCATGGAGTCCTTAAAAACAACTCAAAGGGCGATTAAGAGTCTCCTCACGTTGGGCCGGTGTGTGAAAGAGGCCAGGAGGGAGTGGGAGGTGATGAGTAAGGGGGAGTGGGAGGTGATGAGCGAGGGGGGGAGTGGGAGGTGATGAGCGAGGGGGGGAGTGGGGGGTGATGAGCGTGAGGGGGGAGTGGGAGGTGATGAGCGAGGGGGAGTGGGAGGTGATGAGCGAGGGGGGGAGTTAGGTGATGAGCAAGGGGGAGTGGGAGGTGATGAGCAAGGAGGAGTTGGAGAAGATGAGTAAGAGGGAGGTGGAGAAGATGAGTAAGAGGGAGGTGGAGAAGATGAGCATGGGGGATGGGGAAGTAGAAGAGGAATAAATTGGAGGGCGAGATAACACGAGAAGTTTAGAGAAGGGTGATGAGCATGGAAGAGGGAAAGGAGAGAACAAAGGTGTGAGGAATAGATGAGGAGCTGAAATAGTGGGGAGGGGAATGTGAAGGGCAAAGGGATAGGAGGGTGACGAACGAGGGGTGAGGAGCAGCAAGAACCCATGGAACGGGTCCATAGAATTACCCAAATCGGCCCAAAACTACACAAATCGTCCTAGCATTACGTAAGTAATGAAGAAATATGATATATTTACTTACTATAATGTTGGTGCTACACGTAGAACATGATCAAACCTATTTTTACTCTGAAATAATCTAATTTCATAGCGAAATGAGACGTAAATATGTGAGAGGTGACGCCATAGGAAGTCGACGGTCCAAGCGACAATTATGTGGAGCGACTTATCCAAGATATATGGTCGCCTGGAGAGTGTTTGCTGCCATATCAGCCTCCTGTACACAGTGATCCAGTCGTCGTATTTCATGGCTCAAATTGTCGCAAATTTAATTGGTAATATTAACAAGTAGAATGTGTATTTATAATAATATTTTTCATAAACAGCCACAAAATATTTAATATTTATTAAAAAAAAGTGTCTGGAAGTTAAATCAATTCCACATGACAATAAATTTGTTATATAGATACTAGCGTTATTCGTTGGTATGCGTTCGCTATTTAAACTACTCCAGTCCTTTTAGTTCATAGAACACCGAACCCTACACGCTCTCTGATATATTGCTTAATTAACAAATATTCACAAATAAAGATTATATTTATATATGTTATCAGAAAGGCAGATATAAAATAGTTTGTGTTAATGCATCACAGAGATTATACCTTATTAGAGAGGAAAAATATTCATATTTTAAACAAGGCTTCTTGACCGACGCTCTCCCTTTCGATGGGAACTATGACCTTTTGAAAATCAATGTTAATTGAATCTATATATTGTAAAAAACGAAGTTTTTTATGTCATCAGAAAGACATATAAGCTGCATGTTAATACTTTGGTATAAATATAACTGAAGTGAAATTGAAGATATATGCCTTTTTATAGTTACTTGATGGCTCGCTCAGGGAGTGTGAAGGCCTGCACACAAGCCAATCAATTTTATAATTAATGTACAGATATGCAAAGTAACGTCAAAGATTTTTATTTCAGAATAAAGACAGATGTAGACGATAATGTAAATACATT